GATTGTTCAATATTATAATTTTTATCAATCTCGGAGGATAAACTGGTCTATCATTCTACAAAAAAGAGGAAATATTATATTTATATTAATTCTTGATATATTTTTTTGTTAACATTAAATTTACCTCATCTACAAGTGCTTCTTCAAGTTCAAGCATGTCACATATAGTTTCCCCAGTAACCCGACCAAGGATTGTATGTTTCTTTTGCAAACCTAATTGGGAACCAAGAGTAAAGAAGAATTAGGAACCAATGTCATCTTCTCCAGCATTAGCCATAGCAATTAAACTGCGACCACAAGAACATAATCTGAAACAAACTGAAAAAAAGTATACAATCCCGTTAGAGAAAATTCCACTCTACACTGATATATGGAACAAACCTAATCAAAAAGCCTAATTTCGGAAATAGAAGCCAAAAAAGTCTATTACGCCGCACGATTTCACTGACACATTCGGCACTATTTTTCGAAAACGAACTCTCGAAACCGAAAAAAAATGTCCAATCCCGTTAAGGAAAAAATCACTCTACGCGAATCGGTGGAAAAATCCGATTCAAAAAGCCTAATTCAAAAACTAGAAGCCAAAAATGAAATTGCGCTGCACATAATTTTGTTATTCTGTAATAAATATATACTAACATAAGAAAAAGTAAAAAATAGATTTTTTTATTAAGAAATTTTATTTACGATTGTTTATTTACAATAATTTCATAGGCGAAAAATAAATACAAAATAAATTGAAAAAGCTATCAAAACACTATGGACGAGAATCGCACTCCGGTGCGACTGTCGCCGTTAGGCCACGATTCCACTTAAAAATTGTTGGAAATATGTTTATAATTAAGGAAGTTAACAAACTTTAATCGTAAATATCTCAAAAACTATTAAGTAGTTTCGGCTATAATGATATATTTTCTTAAACTGCATGACGATATCTACAAACCTGCATAGTTTCAACTAAATCGGTGAACCGAAGGACTTGTACTTTCCTTGTTAGCTTGGCATCGTTTGCCAAAGAGGAATTATTTTGGAATATCTATAGACACTCTGATAGAATTCATGGAGGCAAGTCGCGAAAAATTTATCTTTGACAAATGCTACCAATTACCAGGTCTCACCACGTGGAGGTGACTACGCAATCGAGACTCGGGTCTGAATGCATAATTAAAATATAATATAAAACATGGTACACAACATAGTACCAAATGTCATGCAAAATAAATTAGAAAATGTATCTCAAAATGATTATAGGAAATAATTAAAAGAAGCAGTACAAAATATAATACAAAATTGTTGCAAAATAAATTACATAGAAAATAACAAAATATAGGATGTGGAACATCTGTAACAAAGGAAAAACAGTTAATAATGAGACAAAAATAAAAAATGGAAGAAAAAATTGATAGTTACACAAAATTACTGTGCAATGAAATGAGAAATAATTTTATAAAAATGAGACACGCGCTGCCATTTACGGCGTTTTAAAAGTCGCAAGAATAGCGGAAAAAAGCGCGCCAAACAATTATTAAATGTTAAAAGTAAATAAATGAAATAAACAATTAAAAATCAAAAATAAATAAATAAGTAGATGAAATAAATTATTAAAAATTAACGCTAAATAAATTAATAAATGAAAGAAATGATTAAAAATTAAAAATAAATAAATGGAATGAATTATTAAAAATTAAAAATAAATGAATGTAATGTATTGTTAAAAATTAAAAATAAATTATTAAAAGTTATACATAAATAAAGAAATTTATAATAAAACTAAACAGTTAATAAATTATTGGCTATTATTTGAACATATAACGTACTTGTATTAAAATGTACCAATAATTTCCAAAATGTTTATAAATTATTATACTTATTGTTAATAACAAGTTCTTTGCGGGATAAATTTATAATAAAAGTGAAAAAATTAATAAATTGTTGGCTATCATAGCGGAAAATTAATAATTAATAAAATTGGCAAAGTTCGAAACTTTTCGATTGTGGTGGGGAGTTTGGCCGATCAGTGGCTATATAAAGGGCGACGGAACGCAGCAAAACTCATTTACCGGTTTGGCATCGGGAGTGTAACATAAATTTTTGCGTGTGCGGGAAAGGGATGGGGTCCGAGTGAGGTTGGGGCTGGCCCCCCACCCACACCCCACTCTCTTGAACAATTTACTAATCATTTCTTTTATTTTCAGCTATTAATTATTTTTTTCTTTCAGATTTTAATTATTTTTTACTTTTTCAGGTATTAATTATTTTTTTTTTATTTCAGATGTTATTTTTCCTTTATATATATTTATATTTGGACATTCGAATATTTCGTATAATATTCGAATGTCTCGTCGTTGGTTTCTTTATGTTTCATCGTTGGATTGTTTGTATCTCATTTTTGGGTTGTTCATCTCTCATCTTTGGGTTATTAATAATTTTCTTCCTCGGGACTAATCTATTTTTTTCAGCTTTTAATTATTTCTTTTCTTTTCAGATTTAATTTATTCTTCTTTTTCCACATTTTATTTTTTCATTTCTATTCATATTCATTCGAACATTCGAATGTTTCGCCGTTGGTTTGTTTCTGTCTCATCGGTGGCTTGCTCTTTCCATTTGGTTAACCTTCATGGTTTCTATTTTTTCGTTTTCTTTCCTCGTACTAATCCGTTTCCTTTCAGGTTTATATTAACAATAATATATTCTGTTTTAGCTTTTAGGTTTCTCAAGATTCTGTTTGCGACACATCAATGAACGATGCGTGCGTTTACTTTTAAGTAATCATAAGATAGATGCATAGACTAAGTATCATGTGCGCGCTATCTGTACAAAGGTAAGCTACCTAACTTAGAGCGAATATATATATTTTCCCTTATCCCCCTCGGTTAGCAAATAGAACATAATTGTTCTCGCGATAGTCGTGATTGTTCTTAAGTACCGACTAGCCTACGCGACGTGCTCTCGCGTACTCGATAAGTACATGCTTCATAAGTCATCCTCACGACTCGTCTCCGACACTCATTTCCAGTCACTGTCAATCTCGTCATGCATCGGGTTCCAGGGTGACCCCCTCGGATCAGTGCGTCTTCTGACCTCGACGGGGCGGTCCGCTGCCTAAGTCGTACGCGACTTGGGCTCGGGCACATGCTGGCTGACGGACTAGTACCATCTACGGTTAGACCACAGGGATGATTAAGTTCTACCCCGTGTGGCTGGGATGCGAAGTGTCTGTCTTGGCCGGCAACCGCCCAGCAGGGCCCTCGCGTTGACACTAGAAGTTTCATTGGTTCAGGGACTATCCTTGGTCCACGTGTAAGTCTTGGCGAGTGCGACAGTGACTGGAATTGAGCTAGGCTCGATCAGGAGGGTGCTGAGGTATGAAGTTATCTCTGTACACGGGAGTACATCGCCTAGGCTAGTCGGTCTTTCGAATAATCGCGATTTCGTTCGGGCACGTCGCGATTTTCTATTTGCTCGCGTGTTTGATATTTCATTCCTTATTTTTATGGGAATTTGAAAATATCTTAGCGCTGCGACAGTAGAGTTTCAGTATACCGAATGGAAGTTCCCTTTGTAAGACACGAAATAAAATAAAGTGTCAGTAGAGTCATTTTAACTTAATTCGCTCCAAGTTAGATTGGGGTACCTTTGATACAGGTAGCACCAGCAGGCTGCGTCACTAGGGCGCATGTCGGGTCTCGATGCCGTAGCCACCTCCACGTGGTGAGACCTGGTAATTGGTATCGTTTCTCAAAGAAAAATCTTTGGAAAACGATACCAAGCTAAGAGCTACGCACAAAGTTTAAGATATTTTCTATTTTTTGTAAATTTTCAATGTTCCCTTTGAACTTTGTCAATTTTTAAAAATTATATAACAGAATTGTATTTTCTGTGTTCGTAGACTGTTACCAATGGCAGGAATCTTATCTACTCTTAATCGATAACGTAGGAAATTTTGTGTACCTTAATCTGTATCGATAACTTCCTGGAAATGTTGAGGATGATACGGTAATGAGAAGGGGATTACGGATTCACCGAAAACCTGATCGAAATCTTTCCTACCTCTTTAATACGATAATTATTTTTATTAACAAGAATATTTAATAAAATTGAATGATGTGAATCTTCATCTACAATTATGTTTATCTGTTTTATCGGTTAAGTTACAATTTCGTATCTAAAATTTCTTATTTTGTCACTGTAAATTGTTGAGGGCACATCATTTCCTTTGAATTTTTGTAGGTTTGGTGTTTCAGTACAGACAATACGAATTTCCATTTGACGGTAAGTTTGTTGTACACTTCGTCGATGGTAATATCAAGTGACGATGGTTCGAATGTTTAGACTCTAGAGGGGAGTCGGGTTCGGTAAAAATGACGCAGTAAGTGCAGTGTGTCTAGGATGGTTGTGTTGATTGTGGTTTTAATATTATTTATTAACTGATCGTGTCGTGAGTGAATACAATAAACAGAAGTTCCTTGAAAAGCTGCAACTGCTGGTAAGAGTTCAATTTATAAATTAATCGTAGAAGTTCAAACGGCGTTTTAAGGTTATGTTGATTCAATTTGCATTATTGTTTTCCTACTATTGATTTATAAATACAACATCGTAATCGCGTAAGTGAATTATCAAGTCTCGCGATGTGCGCTTATAATGTTACGCAATTTTTATCTGTATGTGGTAATTACGTTTGTTATCTCACGTGACCAAGCACGTGTATAATACTTTGCACGGCGCCATGCGCATCTAGTTCAATACCTTCTACCATGAGAGATTAACAATTCGGCTTGACGTAACACAGTCAACATAATCGTACATGCTTAGATACCTTTGTAACTTCGACGATTCGATGGATAGCCAGAAAAGAGAGCCGCCCACTATATCGCTATTCTCGAATCAAGAAATACTTGTGCCCATGACGTTTACTTCTAAGCATTTACAAGCCCCGGTTACTTCGATACAACGGAAGCAATGGATTTACTGTTGCATACGAGCTCGCATGGTCGCACGATATTATTGTTGCTATCGTTGTATTACATTGCTATCGGCCATCATAGAGATGTAATATCATAACCTTACCACGTTTTTCACATATTTGTTAAGCCTGACGTAATATACGACAAAAATATCGTTAAATTGAATTTAGTTTGGAGTTTAAAATTATAACGGCGCATTCGTGTAAGAGGAGTTCAATTTTGCAAGTAAATGATCTACGACAGTTTTGATATACGTGCACGTAGAGTATATTTAAATTATAAACAATAGAAATAAAATTCGTAGAAAACGATGGATAGCAGTCTAGTCACGTACAGAACATTTTGGAGTAAACGACGATGCGTTTGCAGGATTAAAGCTACTAAAAAAGTAACGAATTTACTGGGGTTAAATAAATAAAAAAGGGGCGCATAAAAGTACTACGTAAAAACATGACGCGTTTCTTTTTACGAAACGATTATAAATAATTTAACGAAGGGTGCAGACGGCCTCTCTTTTTCTGTCTCTCTTATTTTCCTGAGTTCGTTATCATAAATATCTTCTGTCTCTCCTCGTGTATTTTCCTCTTGTTGCTTTTTACTAAGAAATTTCATAACATCTAACGGTTCTAGGATAGGAAGGACGCAGCAGTTTAATGCACCACGAGACGTGCGATTAGGATAATATTGGTAAGTCATGATCAGTGAATAGCAACGCGTACATTCTATTTCAGCGAGAGTACGTTCTAACTTGTACTTACATAAAGAAACACGTACGGTAATAAATTGTTCGCTAACTAGAGGGGCCATTTTCTATGGGTTTATGCGCTGCGATAATAATTTTTCTTTTCTTTTTCATTAATTTCGTTAATTTCCTTTCTTTCGTTGCTTCCTTTAAAGACAGTTTCGAGAATATTGGAGCCTCGGCCCTTGCACCCTTCTCACTTAAAGCTAACGAATAAATACCTATTCGCCATTTCGACTTTTCATCGATGGCTCGTCGAGGACACTCCACTCTCCAAAAACTCCTTCCATTTCATTCTCTCTTGTCTATCTGCGTAGCTATGTTTGTCCGTTTGCCGATCGTTTGGAATTTTTACAGACTACTGTTCCTTTTTCGGAGAGATACGTGAGTAGTCCGGAGTGCTAATCGGAAGATCGATCGATCATCGAGGAGACTTTATCGGGGTAATCCGAGTTGTTGTCCAATTAAACGGGACAAAAGTTCCAACCGCGAATGCAGTGTCCTCGATCGGATTAAATTATACTGCTGAATACTACGAGCGAAACGCGTGCATTCGATCGTGGTTTGCTGTCGTTCGCTGTATCCTCCATGCTCTTCCAGTGATCGAGACTCGCCCGAGCCAGTCGGAGCGAACCCTCTCACCCCTTCTTCTCCAACGAGGAACATAGATCGAACAGCGAGGTAATTCTTCAGCCTTGTCCTATAAGACCAGTCGCAGTTGTCGAATACATTGATTTATTTGAAAAACTTTCAGATTCGGAATTGCTTGGTTGAGCTAAGGGGCACACGACCGAACAATGGGAACTTTTTGCATTTCTTGATCAACACCTCGTAAACGCCTGGTAAACCTGCATCCTTCCTCGACTCTTCTTTCCCTCAGCGTGCTTCGGGTTGATAATCGACGTCGAATGCGAATAGTCGTGTAAGCGATTCTGAAGCATCGGTACGTTTCGTTAGAGTTGGAGATCGTAGTCGTAGAGTTAGAGATTGGAGCTAGAGCCACGATCGTTTTACGGCGAATCGGTCGAATTGGCTACTTGGGATACTCTGGCAACCGATTCGATGGATCACCGGCTTTACCGAAGATCCGATCGTGGCCACCGTTTCCGATTTCTTCTCGTCTGCACGGCCGTTTCGCATCGCTTTCGAGGCAGAGGGTGCGCCGCGCAAGAGGCTCGACCATTCTCGACGTGGCCGTTGTTCGCAAACTAGTCGTTCGTCGCTTATTTGTGCAACTGTCGCTTGCGTCCCATGTTGCAGATCTTGATGTGGCACAAGGTTACATCTAAACAATCGAATCATCGGCATTAGCTCTTAGTCTTTTCCCTCGAGAATGCTTCTTCTTAAGGCTAGCGATTGCACGAGATGCAGGAAGTGCGGAAGGGAGAGAAAGGTTATGCGATTGGAAAGCGGTGAAATTCGTCTGGCGCCGAATCATGATGAACACGGATCACGTCAATCGGTTCGATCTCGAATGTCGATCGTCGAGTTGTTTTCCAACGAGCGAATCGTCACGCGCGATGTCACGCGAATCAAGAGTCAATTGGCGCAATCGATTCGTTTGTTATCCTCGGGACTTCCACGAAATTCACAGCCTCGAGTATCGAACGGCTCGTTTCAATCATTGGGCGAACTCGTGTCGCTGCGATGGAATAAAAGCATCCTTGGCTCGATTGTCGTAGATGAAAAGAGATTTCTGGAACGGAGGATAGACGCCGATCTCTGGTAGCTAGATGTCGTCGCGTCAATAAGCTACGCACGTACGAGCCGTGTATTCTTCGTACTTAATATCTATGCAGAAAGGGATGAAAGAACGTGCAAGATGAAGCGAGCATCTCTGAAAGATCGCGTGACAAGCTTCTACTCGATATCACGTAGTTGTTCTCGTACAGTAAAGATTCTAAATACCAGTCTCACTCGTGTATCATCTTAGGGACGATGTCATATTAGGAACAGAAAACATGTAACAGGTTGTGTTATATATAGATATTCTTTCACAGATGCAAACGCGAGGACTGTGTGTTGTGTATGGAAGTCAGTAGAATGGAAGAATGTAACGAAAGGTGGAAAACATGGACGATACTCACAGCTAATCGCTGCTGTACGCTTGCCGGAACGTTGCATCTGGCTGACCACAGCGTTTGGTGTCGGTAATTCCTCGCCTGAATAATCATCCGGTTGAACTCCCGTTTGTATCTTTGCTCTGGATTCCAGAACCGACTGAATCATCATTTGCATGTTATCCAGTGACTTTTCTCGCTCCGCCATATCCTCCTTTTCCTCGATCACTTGCTTCAGTTTATTCAGCAGTATCTGCGTGAGACAAAGATAAGTTGTGGAAGAGTATATAGACACGCGTGGTAGCGAATTGGAATGGCGAAGAAACGTTAAAGAAGCGAGAAACTTACGAGATTTTCAGCGTTGAGAAAGTTTTTATTATAGAGTAACTCGGAAGGAAGCGGCTCCGGCTCTCCAACGACGAAGACGTCGCTAGAGAGGCAGGACAATAACAGTGCCAACAGACACAGGCCCGTCCGTTTCGTGCTGGACCTTCCCGTCATTCCCTTAAACCTCTTTATCGCTGGAAAGAATCACGAGAGAGGTTAGCTGGTTGTCAGAGGAAATAGCCGAGGATTTTCAACGAGGGTTTTAGCAAAGACGATACTAGGGAATAGATCGAGCGATTGTTCAGGGCAGAAAAAGAAGGAGAAGAAAGTTGGAAAGATTGACGAAACGAGCGAATGATTGCAAATTTCGTCAGTTCCGACGAGGATAAACCGACCGCGGCGTAAATGGGCAGAAAGGACTTTCGTCTCCTCTATCCGTTCTTCATCCATCATTCATCCGAGTCAGGTGTACGCGGTGAGAATCGAAAGAGCAGCGAAATAACGTCGACCGGATCCGAAAATCTCGGCAAACTCGATGATTGACGCGTTTCGAAGAAAGCAGAACTTGGTTGACGACCGGGGAAGCGAAAAGAGGAAGAAAAATGAGAAGAATCGAGCAGAGTGGCTGATCTCGATCTACGTAGGTATTTATTTTCGAGTCGAACGAGCTATCAAACGTCGATTTATCTCCAGGATCGATCCCTCTGCTTCTAGCTCTCCCTTTGTCCCTTCCTCGTTCAACCACGAATATCGTTATATACCATCTGTTGGCTCGTTCTTTTAACGATCCGACGCGAAAGTTCTGCTAATTCGTTGATCGACGACTAATTCGGTAAATTTCACTAGAAGTTCGAAGAGGAACTAGGGAATAGAGATCGAGAATCTCTGGACTCGATCGCGTTGACAAACTTTTTGACTTTCCACTTGTTGCATTTCTGGAATCTTGAGGTGAGCTTCGCCTCTATCACAGGGATTTCTTTATTGGGTCTCCTTTGTACGGTAGTCCTGTAATTTCGTATTTTCCAAGACGAAACGATATCCAAGATGTATCGGAAACGAATATTATTCGATAGCGAGAATCTCAGCAGCGTGTCTAATTATTCAAAGCATAACCTCGCCGTTACGTCGCTCGGCCGGAATTCTGACGTATTAGCCTTGTTTATTAACCCTCTCTAATGGCTCGGTATGTGTGTTCGAAATGAAACAAATTTATCGCGTGCTGAAAATGTCACGAACCACCGTCTTAGTCTGTGAAGCGAATCGGAGATGGTAGAGATGTTGCGATCCGTTGCGAGAAAAGCCAAGTCTCGTTCGTTCCACTCCACACCTCCGAGCTGCGTTTCTTTTTCGTTTATATCCAAAACGAGTCGCGAGCGAAAACGAGATTAATGTATATTTATATTATAATAATCTCGCATTTTTGCGGGGCAACGTGGGGAAATGAAAAAAGAAGCTGGAGAAAAAATATAACGAGCGAAATTGCTCGACGATTGGTCTATGAACGGGCCATCGGATAAGACGATATTCGACTTCGGTCCTCTTGTTTGCGATCTCGTGTAATCTTATCCAGCCCCTCTTCCGTACCCCGTGCGTCGTTGCTCGAGCGACGCTTATCGGGCAAAGGGATAATCCTCGATGACCCAAGAAACGCGCGTGAATTCATTCAGCTGAGTAATTTATCTGGCGACCCGAGTGGGTTGTTTGGACAGATAACATCTGGGGGGAGGGGGATGCCAGCAATTATACTTTACATAATTTGGCTCGCCTACGAAAATCCGATTGAGTAATTTCCAATGCCACTCCTCGAGATCTCCACCCCCGTTATTCCTCGTTTAGTCCTTGTTTCTCCGACTATTTCCCGAGATTCTTCTCTTTGTTCTTCTTTCTCTCGTAACAGAGCAGGGATATCGCGTACGATACATCGTATAACGATCGAACCGAATTGAATCGTTGACGCGAATACGCATTACGCTGCAGGTCTAGCTTGGAAACTCGCCTCGTTAACGAACAAGCAACGATCGTTGCTTCTTTTTTCTTCTATTCGTTGGCAGAAGAAAATAGGGATTCCGTGGCATGCATCGACGAACGCGATGCACATGGATATTTATTCGGCGAACAATAAGCCCCGATCGCTTTTTGCTCGGCATTTACCGCGAAAAATTGCGAGGTAATGCGCGATTGTTCGGACGGCCTTTTATCTCAGCGACGCGAACCGATCGAGCGTGCGGTATAATCAGCGGCGAATTCTACCTACGATCGCTTCGATTGCTTCGATTTCATCCACGAGACACCGATCTTTCGAATTCCGGCTCGGTTACGCCTGGTCCTCACGGTTTTCACGGTTCTCACGGCTGTAGATCGGATCGAGGCATTGCGTTGAAAGCCGCGTTGAAAATCGCACTGAACAGCTGGTAAACAAAACCATTAACAATCGATTCGAGTGGAAGAAGCTATTTAATTGGTTCGCGTAATATCGCTGTTGCAGCTTCATCCTTGTTCGTCAATAGGATCTGACCCAAACTGTCGACGGGGAATGAATCTCGGCCGATCGTCGGTGAATCGAGAGACGATGGTGTAAAGTCACGAATGTGCGAGTCCTACCTTGATTAACTTCGAAACGCTCCTCTGGACGAGAAGCCTCGTTCGCAAAATGTTTGGACAATCGAACGAACACAGCAGGAGAGCCAAAGGTGTCGATGTCACTGACGATTTTCCCCGATTTTCTTACCGACGAACGCGTATCTCGACGAGTTTTCGGCGGGACGATGCGTGCTCGTAGAGTGAGCAGAGAGGGGCTGTTGCACCCTCTATTATACCCTGAGCAGAATCCTCCACCACCCGCCACCTAGCCGCACCTCCTACCACCTGTAGGTCCGCGCTCGCACGAGGATACCTCTGCGTACAACGCCTACGTGCATGCCATTCCTCTGCCCGTTTACTTTTCCCTCTTTTCATCTTTTCTTTTCCTTCTTTCCATTTGCCATCAATTTCGCGAAATATCTCGATTCCCGAAGCTTTCGGCTTTACCTGCTCACCGTGTTACTCAGTCGCCGGTTCACGCGACTCACGAGACGAGTTTCACGTCAAATTTTTCTACTCCGGCTTATGTAACCGGTTTTCTTCGTTTATTTTTCATCGGCCATATTGGAACAGATTGACGCCAATTTCTTGCGTTTCGGTATTTCATGAACGACACTCGCGATAAATCGCGTTACAGAGATCTATTAAACGCTACGAGCTTGACGTCAGCATATGAAATAGACGATGTCGTGGCTGATTCCATAGATTTTCCCGTTGCTGCCGCGTTTAATCCCGTAGCTCATAGAACGGCAGGGATGAAGAGAAGAAAATATGCAATCGAGCGAAGAAATAGGCTCGCGGGATACTTTACGAGTAGCTCGCTGACACCGAGTCAAACGTTATCGATTCTGATCGGCACCGTTGAATCGTCCACGATAGAAGGAGGAAAAACAATCGGAGCTTCTAGCGCGATGAAAGTTTCCCGTTCGTAAATCCACCGGCGTTGGCTAATTCCCGAGAGCTAGCAGCTTACACCCTTCGCGATGGTTCAACACCAACATGGAAACTTCGTCTAAATCATATCGGAACTTGCTACCCAAGTCCCGACGTTTCTCATTTCGCCAACTTCTTCGTTCACCGTATCGTTTCGAGGTTTCATCTTTATTACCGCGATAAAGGATTCAAGCTTTTTCTGGCTGAAAATGATTTCTGTCCGCGAAACCTTCGTTTCCATTTCTCTTCCATCCGAAGCCGATAGCTATTTTGGGCTTTCCTACGTTTCGGCTGCACAGCAGCCCGCTTCTCTTTCAGAGGAAGCCAATGGCCAAACGTGGAATGATTAAAAATTGATGAAAAGGTGCGTTCGTTAGATCGGCCGAGATGGAAACGTCGTGCCTTGATTTATTCGCAGCTCTGATCACTATCGTTGCCTACGAGCAACGCTCGATTAGCCCGTCCCACGGTTTACGCGCTGCCTTTTTCATTCCTCCTCCCTTCGAAAATATTACGCGTTGTTTTCAAAATTAGAAGAGGCTTCCTCCATGTTATTACAAACGAACGTTTCTCAATGCAAATGAAAGATGCAGGAACCGGGGAATCATAAACTTCTTGATTGGATCATGTTTATTTCGTCCAATTCATTTCATTTTACGCGTATGTGTGTATTTATCGATTTATGCAGACGAATAAGATTGTATTTTTTATAAATTCCAACTTTTAAGGAATACAAAGAAGGGAGAAAATTCGAGAAATCCTGTTATAAACAAAGGAGATGTTCCTCGGCTAACGATAAGACACTCGATACATATTGAATGTCCAGAATTCCTTCGCAAACTTGCTGTTCGATTTTACGTTTCCGTTAGGACAATCTAAACTTTGATGGCGTTCCGAAGATCGTGGTCAGAAATTAGGTTCCCTTTCCTAATATCGACGTATATCGGCAGAACAATAATGAGACGAAGGCAAAGAGAGAATCGGTAGACTGGAAGTTTCGAGTCGAGTTATTGGAAAGTCTCGGTGTTGAATCACGGAATCGCGGTTTGTCTGTGTTGGTTTCCAGCGCGATTCGGGAAAAGATTTGGGGTGAAAAGCTAAGGCAAAGGGGTGGAGTGGTACTGGTTGGCTCGCTGTCTCTTTGGTTCTCGCGAAAAGAAAAACGGCGAGTGTCGGGACAGTGGTTACGATTAAACGCACGATCTCTCGCCACTATTTGTCGGAGTTTCGGTATGACGACGTCGACGTCGACCAATGAGCGCGTGAATTAAGAATAACAGCCTCTCGTCGCTTATCGGGCTCGTTCAATTAACGAGAGCTCCTTCTTATCGCTGCGATTCTCTTTTTTTCAATCTCTTGGTAAATCGCACGCCCGGCAAAATGGCGGATTAAAAGCCTCGGATTTTTGCGCCTTTCCGTCCCGGAATCCTTCGTAGGACGCAACGCATCCTCGTTGCCAACCGTCTGTTGGTCTGAATTTAATCGCGATTATCTGATCATCGATCGCGCAACTCTTCCTTTTGGACGATACAAATAATTCGAGTGCCGCGATTGAGTGTGTTCGTCGAGGGCGCTTCACGTCGTATATTTTTAGGATCAAAGCTGGATTCGAAACGGGATAGAATTTGAAACTCGAAAGAATGACGCAATACGAATTGAAAGTCTTCCTGGAGCAACGTTACGACGATAATCGCGATTACGATAATTGCCAAGCGCAGCTCGAGTATTATCTTTGCATGCGAACATTGTTCTCGTTGCACGAGTGGAATAATACAGGATTAATATCGGTACGAACTCCACGCTTTGGATTATCTTCGAACCAAGCGAGCGCCAAATGTCATATTCGTGTCTAGGATTCGCGTAGGGAATTTACGAGGACGTGGATCGTTAGTCCTCGTGAGATTTCTATCAAATTCTTATCCTTCGTATATCGAACGGTTTTCGTTTTGCTTTGTCTCGGAGTAAGCTCGTCACGTCACGTCGGTTCAATTCTCGACACGGACTACTCGTTGCGTACACGCTAACCTGTACTCCTGACAAGGGATGGTTCTCTTCTTTTTCCTCTTTCTCAAAACTCTATGTGCTCGTTGCGCGTTTGTCGAGTAAGATAACGACTCGATGTTCTCGTTTCTTCCACCGCTTTTAAGCTTTTAAGCGGGATTAAGGGTTCGAGTAGCATCAACGCCCAGCGCTACGATTCGCCATTGTTTACTTTCAATTTCGACCGAAGTACCTTACGTTGCTGTAACGACGATGGAAGGGAAGCTAAACGGTCGTGTCTCCACGGTTTTAGATTGCTTTCGCGCTCACTGTTTCGTTCTCGTTCTTTGCAGGCAAATGTCGGACGAGGAGAAGGAAGAGGAGAAGCCGTTCGCGGTGGAACGAGCGAAAACCGGTCGCGCGAAATGCAAGAAGTGCAAGTGTCCGATAGAAAAAGACACGGTGAGGATCGCGAAGCTCGTCGCGAATCCGTTCTCCGACGGCAAGATGAAGGCGTGGCATCACTTGAGCTGCCTGTTCGAGGTGTTTGCCAAACAGAGGGCTACCACCAAGAGAATCGATGATCCCGAGCAGGACATTAGCGGATGGGAGGATCTCTCGGACGAGGACAGAAGCGCGGTTCTCCATCGAATCGAGGAGTTTGAAAATTCGTGTAAGTCTCGGCTTTCTTCGTTTCACGTGTCGGTCACCGTTCTCCGGACATTTCTGCGGTGATCTCGACGCCTGAAAACGATGCGTCGCCGTCTTTCGGCTACCGGTTCGATCATTCGGTTCTCGCGATATTCTCCGGTCAAGTATTTTTCTACGTTCCTACGTTTTTTCACGGGCAGGGCCATTCGCTGCGATACGACGCGATGATAAACATATGGGTGCAGATAAAGAAATTCGAGCAATTTCCATGGCAATGAGAAGACCGCGTTCATCTCTATCGCTTATCGCGACGCAGCAGAGACGAGCGTTTTAATTGCCGTTCAATTAAATCGAGGATGTACAAATTGTATTCCATAAATCATCTTTCGAGTATTATCGCCTATTAGAGCGATCGGTCTGCCGATGATTTACGTTGCATTAAACTGGTTTCTCGTTCCGGCGATTATTACCACGGTCGTAAAAGATCCTCGAATCAGCGCGTGTGAATTATACCTTCTGCTTTGCGCGTCTGCCGATTTCTATTTCCATCGATAAATTCTGCTATCCACCTACTCGAGGAGATTGCAAACTAACCTACTAGCATTCACCCGGGGCTAATCCTCGACGATAATCGATCGACTTTCACTCGGTGTGGCAATTCGACAAAAGCCTTGTAACGCAGAGGACCTGTAGCATCGTCTCTTTTCCTTTCTAGCTCCGTTCAAGACGCCTAAGACCAAGGCAGCCTCCGGCACGAAGAAACGCAAAGTTACTCACGATCAGAGCACCAAGCCGGACCCTTCGTCGAACAAAAAACCGAAGAACTCGGGAAGGAACGATTCGGTGTCGTCCAGCGAAGATGTATCGGATACTTCTGGATCGAGCAAAAGTCCAGAAAAGGTGCGAAAACCAACGAGGGACGACGCGTTCGAGGTGTTCCAGCAGCTCTGCAACGACGTGGCCAAAGTCGACGCCTACACCGACAAGACGGCGATCGTCAGAAAGATGTTGACCAAAGGGTCGAGCGGTGGTGGGTTTCAAAATTTGTCCGCGAATCGATCTTCGAAGTCGTTCTCGCAGCATCGCCCCCTCCCTCGGACATTTACAAATCGAGCTACATACGTACGTCAAGACTCGACCGAATTTCGTAACGTTTCCAAGGGGTCAAGGCTTCCGTGCCCGCGCTGCTCGCTGGTACTAGGAAATTAGCGTTAGTACATAGTACTGTTGAATTACCAATTACACGTACTCTGTCGAAATTCGACGAAAAATATTCGTTGCGAAGGAGGAGAAGGAAATTTCGCCTTGACGCGATGCGAATGAAAACAATCGGCGGCGTATCGCGGGAGTCGATTTAATCGAGTTCATCTGCACTCATCGTCGTGTCGAGATGAGACGAAAGCTTCGGGGATTATCGCTGTTTTTGCGCCTCTGATAATTACAAGAGGATACGACGAATGATCTCGCGACTGTCACGAGTTCTAGAGTCAACGTCTGGATGTTCGGGGTGAAATATCTAAGGGTGACAGTTGGCAGGATATAATTTCGAAAGGGGAACGAACGATGCTGTAGATGGAATATCGGTTAGGCTACTGGCGTAAACATATTCGCATTTTCCCCACCCCTTTAGCTTTGTTCCTTCCTCTCGATTATTTTTACTAGTTCTCCTCTCTCCTTCATCTATACTCTCTCTTCATCGCTGTCTGTTTCTCTCTGGCCTTCGCGTCTTTTCGTTGAGGTCGAACAAATACGATACCGGAATCGGATACAAGGAGACCATTAATCAATCGACGGTGCAGATTCCCACCGCTGTGCTCGTAAGTGGAAGATTTTTACGGGGTTATCTGACTGTGAGAGCAACAAAACCCGAATCACTTTCACGCAGCTCCGCGATCCTCGAATTTGCATCGCAGAAATTCACTTTTCGATACACTTTTCCCTTCGTCGTTCTCCGCAACGTATGAAATCTTTAAATATTCAAGGAAGGAATATATATATATATATAGAGAGAGAGAGAGACAGGTTAAAGGATCGCGATTGTTCAAAGTTAGTTAAACATCGAAACCGTAGAAGAAATACGACGTCGACAGGCGAAGATGTTTTTAGAAATTATGAGCGAGAGCTTCTCGTTTCGATTCAGATTCAAGTTCAGATTCCTGATCGAAGATTTCCTTCTGTACACGGCCAACCGATTGATCGTGATCCAACGCGAAAACTGTTTTTGCAGAAACCGCGACGAGTTAACTTCTGACACGACACGAATTGCGCTTCGTTGATTTCTTCCCTACGTCATACACTTGACCCAGTGTTCCTCGCGTCTATCGGCGTGAAATTTTCCGTTTATAGAGAAACCGTCGATCGGTTTGCGAGCTAGACCACTAATCCTCGACCATTCTTACCCGATTCTTTCTCACCTGCGCCGACAGAAAGCTACTACACGCGTGAAGCTTGCTCTTTACTTTACTTACTCGAATCCAAATCCTTTCCGATTATAATGCTATTCCTTCCTCCAGGTATTCAACTAGTAATTCGTTGACACGGAAGAAGGTCCTCGATAGTCCTCGATAATCTCGTGTCGTGAGGTAACGTTGGCACGTCAGTTGTAACAAGATCCAACCGGTCGTTCCGTGATTTTCACCACCCAACGCGTTATCACTGGTTCGCCAGGGAAAATATTTGATCACTCGGTCGTCGATGTTCTTGTTCCTCGAAGAAAAATCGGTCGATGGTTCACGTGTTCGATTATGCTGTCGATCCGGTCTTGTACGAAATCGGTCTTGTCCGTTTTTCGTTTCTACTATATACCGCACATTCACCGTTTTGCGACTATTGGTCCCGAAGGCTGTGCTGTAGAGTCTTATAAGCTTAGCTGTCCCCACCTAATCAAGTTCAGTTTGTAAACGCGATGTCGAGCCCCTTCTCGTGCAGCCAGCTTGGCTCCAGACGCTCGTCCATTCTTTCCCTCTTTCTCCACGCGCCTCTTCTCTCCCCCGTGTACATACTCTCTCCTTATCTCGCGCTAGACTCTCCTCCCTCTTTTAATTCGCCACCTCCTCCTTGGTTCTTTCCTTTCATTCTCACCTCTCCTCTCCTCTCCTCTCCTCTCTCCTACTCTTCCTTCCTCTTCTCTCCTATCCTTATTTTCGTGCCCAATGCTAGATACCCTCCACTCGCTACCCAATTAATTCTTTTTTCCCCGCTTTGTACACTCTCGCTCGCAAATTTCGATCGTCTTCATATTTCTCTGGACTCGCGGTTCGCTGTAAAACCATCGCGAAGAAAATCTACGGAGATTCGATCGATTCGTGAATCGATTCGAGCCGTCGGCTATCAGGGTGACGCAGCAGCCACGATAAACGAGTCTTGGTGACCTCTCGCGTTCTTTCTTTCCGCGGATGAAAAAAACTGACGGGTTACGCTGAAACCGCGGTTTAAATTCATCGTCGGCCGTTGGCCGAGGCTAAAAATCGACGGAGGAGCGGCCCATTGGTTGTCTGGAGCAATCGGCGTTCATCGATAAGCCAAAGTCGCTTTTGATTTCGCGGGTCAACGAAACGCGAAACGGCCTGCGAATCGTTGCGAAACGTCTTTTGGTCGACGATCTAGTAACACGATTCTCGTTTCAATGGACGTAACGTGACTCTTTTTCCTTTTCCTCGCCGCTCCTTTTCATTCGAGTACACAGTCTGCTCGAAAACAAGGATATTTACGCGAATCGCGTTAATCTGTATACGCGTGTTACGTTATCTCGTCGATATCGCATAGATCGCTCGTACGCGGGTGTTATTATTTAGGGGTTGCGATGAAATTTTACCGCGAATTTACACCGGTTATCCCCGGGCTGATGCACTCGCAAAGTGACGCAAGGTGCACGAGGAATGTGGGAAAGGAACGATGTTACGCGAGATTTTTAACTCGAGACTCTGGTTCTCCCAACGCGAATCACAACACACGGGGTTGCCTTGGGGGTACTGTTATCATATCCTGGATCCTATCTTGAGATTCCCTCGGTGGAGTCGGCTTTCGTGTCACGCGTGTTTGTTTGCCACCCACGACTGTCTCCTTCCGATTTTTCGACCAGGATCTAATTTTACAAGTCGTTCTGTTCGACCTGGGATCCTCGAGCCACGAATTTGCCGCGATAAATAGGGAGATTGTAATCGATGATGGAGCAGTGTTAGAAGATGGCGGAATTCCTCGAAAGATTACAGAAGAAATCAGCGATTCGCATTATTTTCGACGATGATGAGGGACGGTTGTGGTGGTGGTGGTGACGTCCCGACGGCGGTGGGAGCCCGTTTCGTCGTCGATGTTATGTTTCCTCGTTCTGTTGCGTTACGTTGCATCAAGACTGGCTCGACGCGTGCCACTTCTATCAATTCTGCATCCGTGCACGTCGTTTTCTCGGAAGTGGAAAAGACCGGATCGCTGAAAATTGGAACACTTCCCTGGAATTTCTCCCGTTAATTCGATAACCGCGAGGTTTTACACGATCATCCATGTCCGAGCTCGATAAGGAAACCGTGTGTGCTGGGATTTCGGCCAGCCGGCAGTGCGTTCGGGACATCATCGTTACGATATCTCTGGATGGCGCGCGTTCAGACGATCTGTCGACGATTCTCGCGACATGGAAAGCGTGCCACGAAAGCGTGATTTGCGAAATCTCGTTTCGGAGCAATTCGAACGAAATCATCCGCGATTTTCTTTTTGCTCGCGCGTTTATCGGCTCCTACGAGATATCGCGTTATCGCGCGAGAGTTAAACGAAGAAACACCGCGAGCAGCGATCGAATGCGATCGATTTTCGAAAAATGGAAAGGAGAGGAAAGGGAAAAAGGAAAGAATTGCTCTGGTGACGAACGGAAACGAAAATTCGAATTGGAACTATTCGTTTGACTCGAACACGTTTGAAGGTACGATTACTCGGGGAAATTACTTTCGAGCATTCGCTCTTCTATTTTTCTCGGGGCACGAGGGTTGGAAATTTGCCTGAAGGGAAGAAGAGGCCGAGAGAGTAGGAGCGTAGCGGTGAAAAAGGAAAGAAAAAGGAGCTCCATTTTATTTGTGTGGGGGCAAATAATAGCGTATCTAGCTTTCACGCGTCCCCTCTTCTTTCCCGTAAACCGTGGAAAATCTCATTGAAGCGAAACCGCGTTATCGTTTGTCCGCGGAACTACACTTTGTACGAGTCGTGGTATCGTCGGTGACCTCTCCCTATCGTTCCCGCGTTTCCTTCAGCCGATCGATCATTAATTACCGCGCTCTTCTTTAATCTACGTATGAAGTCACCTCCGCTTTTACGAGCAAACTTTCATTCGTTTATTCGTTCGTTTGCTCGTTCCTTCGCTCGCTCGTTTCTTCAGTCAGCGTCGACTGACGACGCGCAGTGGCTCAACCCGCGGAAAAGCTGGTCAAAATACCAACGCATCGCTCGATTCGTCTGAAAATTCGCACATTAGGGTTTCCGCGGTCGCTGATTACGAATCCGAAGTTAATATTTTGGAAAACCAAATCGCTGCGTCACAATGGCGGACAGACGTGCACCAAAAACGTATTGCATTTGGCTGAAATTAACTATCCGAGGATTTTCTAGGCCACCGATTACGAAGCCGAAGTGAAAATCTTCGAAATATTAAAATCTTCTCCTATTTCTTTTCTTTTTTTTAAAGAAAAGGCTGTGCCCCGTGTTGTTTCTCGCGCTTTTCATAGTAACGAACATCGAACCGAAGCGGTATGTACCACTTAACTTCGAAACGTTTTTCGAAATCGCGAATATGCAGAAGATTTTTTATTCCTACATGACAAATGTGCCGTGACAGGAAAAAGCTGTGGATGTTTCGAAGGCCGCGTTTTGACCAGCTTTCCGGCGTTTTGGGCCAGTGCGCGGCGTGTGTCCGGACAGGACGCGGGTAAACCGCTGGTTGGCCGGAAAGAAAGAAAAAAGAAATTCAATTGACCGAGGCTTAAATCGCGGTTTTTTCGTTCAAAGAGATTTCGGCGTATCTAACCGCGTTATCGTCGGTCCGTGCTCCTTCTCCGCTTTCAGCTCGCGTTGCTGGCGCTCCTCGCTTCCCGCTTCCAGCTTCTCGTTCCATCGCGGAGGGGAAGCGACGAACGAGATCGTGGTTTTCGGAGGGACGCGCGTGCGAGAGGTCAAATCGTCTCTCTAGGAGTTATCGACCGTGAAGTTGTGCCGTCGCGATCGCTTGCGACATCCTCGCCCTCCGGAGCTTGCGTCCAACCCCGAATTCGAATGTCCGTCTAATTTTCCATCCCTTCCACCTCCTTCTAGCCTTCGTCGCCGTGATTTCGGCTTTAAACGTTTCGGGAAACGATAACCGATTTTCTGTCACGAATGCAACGACGCTATAGATCGATAGCGTGGAATCTAGGAAGCCGTTTCTCGGAAATATCGTTATTTGTTTACATCGCAACGAGAAGTGACGCGGCTCGCGTCGTTCCTTCGTACGATCACACCGGCAAACACGAGTTCGGGAATTTCGTCGTTTTCGTGGACTTTAGGGAGACGAAGATTTTTAGAAACGCGTCGCTTCTCTTCGTCTATTTACCCTTCCGGTGTAAAATGAAAACTATCCTAGTCAACGCTAGGGTATTTCGTATAAAATTATACAAAAATTTTGGAGATTTTTCGAATTTTGTGCACATTGGAAAACGTGATTATAGTCTAGCGATTAGTGTAGCTTATGATCATAAGATTTGACGTTTTGCTAGTCGTCTCGGAACGAGGTGTTACACTCGAATCGGTTTCTGGATCGCGCGATCGAGGAGATAGAAGCATCGCTGACGGAATTGTAGCACGCGAAAGGAAACGTCGCGACGGATGGGTGACGAGGCGATGATTTATAGAGACATGCAGCTGTTCGAATGCTCGATAATCGAGTGGAACAGACAAAACGTCGCCGGTCGATTATCGTACTTGAATAGCCGTTCGATTGATCTCGGCTCCTCGCGAGTTACTCCCTCCAGGCTTTCGTTCGTCTCGTTTGCGACGCCCCGTTGCTTGTCCTGCTCGGATTAGTCCTAGATATCTTCCACGGTCCTGATCGAGATCGTTCGTCCAATGAAGACCGCGCAGCTCGCGATCCATGACCGTCGGTGATGTTTTTCCAAAGCGCGCCTGAAGGCGGAAGGGAAGCAAAGAGGAAGTTTCCGATCGCGACGCGAGATTGTCCTCGCGAATAACTGTGCCAAATCGCAGTGATTTTCCGTCCGGCTAGTGCAATCTCTGGAAAAGTTCCAGCACGTCCCAGTTCCACGCAAGAATCTCGCCGAACGCTTTTCGATCACTTTCTACCGTTCTCCGGTAGCTGGATGGTCCTTAAACCGACGTTCGTCTGGCTCCTTTGTTAGCCGAAAGTCGCGCAACAAGTTGGTCGCGAGCAATAACCCTCGAGGCTACGTACATATACATACGTAAATACGTTTACGTAAACATGTTTGGTATGGAAACGGAAAAATCCCCGATGTAGTAACGAGCTGTCGCGTTAGCCTGCTGACAGGCCTGGAAGAGGTGTGTACAGTTGTCGACCAATGAATCGTCGATAAGCCATTACGCGAGAATCGTCTCGCGAGAAGGTGCATCGCTTATCTCGCACACGCAACGTAAACACTGCGATAATTTCGTATTTTTATAGGCTACTTATTTGGCTGATAAAGCACAGGGGCAGAGGCCAGGGACTCGTCCGTCGGATCTCTAATTAATTTCTCTGACGGCCGCTGAAAATTCAATTCTAACGTTACGAAATACGAACACAACTCCAACTCCCTTGCAGTTCCACGCACGCTTTTTCCTCCTCGAGAAACGCTGCCAACGAACTTGACGCGATAACGATCTGCTAGGTGCTTCTGTAACAAAAGTAGGTTCAGCGATGAATTTGTCTCGTTTAACAATCGTCAGAGATGCGATGTATCAATGCAAACGCGACGACGTGTTTTGAGGTGAATCAGGATCTCCGACAGCGTTAGCGAATGCCTCGAGAAACCATATCAAAGGAGTTGGCGTGTAAAAAAGAATCAAGGTATCGCGTGATAAGCTTCAGGCCGGAAGTAAATATTGCGACAGCTCGCGGGTGCGCGATAACGATTGCGACTGTAATGGAGCCCGCTGTTTATTCGTCATTCGCAATTTTGCCGATGATCTAGTCCCGTCCGACGCAAAGGAGGTCGTCGATCAACTTTCCACGAAACGCCACTGCGCCTGTTCTTAATCGAAAATACGACCACGCGTCTGCATCTCGATCCTTTGCTTCTTCGTTCGTCCCACAGCTTCCTCGCGACCGATTTCGGAGCTGCGTTTCCTCGCATCCCTTTCGCGTCGATGAACATCTCAGCTATGAAAAGCCTAACACCCGGTTTCGAGTTCTTCGCAGAGTCGCAGAGCCTTCGCTGGCTGATTCCTCGAGCGGAGAATCACGAGACGCTGGTGATCGTTAGGGAAAAAGGGAACGAACGAAAAGCGTCGCATCGGAATGCAGCGGCAGAGTGGAAAGTTACGGGCGATAACTGCGCACGATAACCGCCCGTTGATCGAGGATATTCTATCGAACGGCGTTCAGCTGGTTTCGATTTCGTCTTGCTACCGTTCTGACGTTCCGTGCTCCGCTTCCGTTCGTAAAAGTTCCGCTCGCGTACACCCCACTGTAGGTGGTGAACACGACTGAATGCTAAACGAGGGCGGAACGGCATAGGATTGGGGCTAAAAATTAACGTTTACAGGGTGTCGCCGAAAGACACACAGAATCGGGTTTCGGGTGGTTTCTCGTGAAAGAACGCGTGAAAAGTATACGATAACTCTATTCATTTGCAGCTTAGTTTTTGAGAAAATCAAATTTGAACAGTCGCCTTATACGTATGCATCGAGATTAAAACACAGTTCGGGAAACATATTTGTAAACAATGTTCATGCAGTACTGGAAGAATTGTGAAATTTATTCTTGTTGCATACGAAGTGCACTCGTCTAATTACACAAAGTACGAAACAAATGTTCAAATTCGATTTTCTCGAGGACTAGGTTTTATAAAAGAATTATCGCATACTTTTTCGTGTTCTTTCTAAGAGCAATCGTTTGATTGCCTGCTTGCACGTGTCTTCCAGGGACACCCTGTATGTGTATATACGCCTCACGCGACGATAATTGAAAGTTTGAATGTTTATCTTCTCAGATAAATGTCCAGATTTGTCCATTCATTCGCTGGTGACGCCTGATTATACCTATCCATCGAGATTCGTGCTTTGACGAGAGTGATTCAGCATGATTAATGCACATCACGCGCGCGGGTCAGGGTCTAAAATCACCCCATCGTGTGGTCAACCGGTGATCAATAGGATTTGTTGGGGTTCTTTTCCGGTTCCTACTACTTCCGTGGTGTTTATTCTGGACCAGTGATGGGGAATGATCTATCACTTGGCTGCTTCCCTTCGAGGTTATCTTGTTCGGCTACACTGTATCGTGATGAAATTGGAACTCTGAAAAACTTCCACATTCGGCGAAGCAATACTACCATGGTGGTGGAGCCGAGGTGGGTAGATTATGAGGGAAACTCTGGCTATGAGAGGTTCCTTTCGAACGAGAAGGAGAATTTTGGCAATAAAAAATCGACGTAAGTACATCAGAAGGATTACCGGCAATCATGATGAAATTCTGGGCAGTCGCGAGGACGTAAACTTCGACGTTCGAGTGATTTCCTTGAGATCTCTTGGCACGCCACGGAAGAGCTACTTTGAACTTGTCTAATTCGTTACGCTTTTTCAGATGGTTTCAAGAGCTGCGTCAAACTCTGGTGCAGACTACTGCTTCCCGGCGCTGTGAAGAGGGTGTACAATCTGCAGAGCAAACAGCTGCTGAAGCTGTTCTCGCGTATACTGCTGCAGGACGAGGACGAAATGCTGGAGCACCTGGAGCAGGGAGACGTGGCTGAAACCATTCGAATATTTTTCGAGAAAAGCGTCGCCGTGAAACCGGCAGCGAAAAGCGTCCTTACCATTCAAGAGGTAAACGAGAGTTCCTGGATATTTTGGTTGATATTCGTATTGATCCAGGGAGGATTTGCGAACGTTCTCCGCGGGATAAGAATACCCAGGACGACGTTCCAGTGCTAAGATGTGGCTCCATTAATCGAGGAAAGCCTCTGGATGAAAATTATAAATTCTCGGGGATCAGGAGACCGTGTATTACCTTTATAATTCGCCACGATAGGAGTCTCTCTTCTCTTCCGCTGTTGAGAGGCGCTTAAAATTCAATGCACACGCTCATTTCTCCGTTTAATTTTTCCTCCAGTCAGTATTCTTCTTTCTCACGCTGTACGATGCTTTGGTACATTTACGACGACAACGAGACAAACAGCTAAGAAACGAAATGGAATTTATTCGCGTTCATCGGGGCTCGAATAATCAGGGGAATTCTTTAGGCGTGTTTGGGATTATCGAAGTCTGACTGGATCACCAAACGAAATTCCCTGCTGGGTCAAATTTAGAAATTTCAAATTCCATCTCTTAAATGTTCCCACATTTTTCTGTATATATAATATCTAGCGTAAAATAAGTAGTTTGAATATAAAACTCGATGTTATCTCAATCTATGCGTTGTACGAAATATCTTCGTCCATTCGTGTTTGTGTAGGTGGACGAATTTCTGCAAGAGTTGTCGCTTTTAACTAAGGAGGACGAGCAGATCCATCACTTTCGTTCGATCGTTCGAAGGTAAATCGTTTGATATTCTTCCTCTGTTATATTCGTGGAAGGCAAACTATTACGTGCTTTCCAGATGCACCGCGGACGACCTGAAGATGATCATCCGGCTGATCAAGCACGATCTAAGGATAAACGCTGGCCCGAAGCACATGTGAGTCTAGACGTATAAATAGTTTCGGTAAACCAGACGATTAGGTGGCAACCGATGGTATTTTTTGCCTGTTTGATACATTCGCAGTTTGGGTGCGGTGCACGATGACGCCTACGAGGCCTTTCAAACATCCAGGGACTTGAACAGCGTCATCGAACGATGTTTGGAAGGTTCCTCAAAAATTGGGAAACCATCTTCGTCGCCTGGCCAGTCTTCCAACACTAAGGTCACTCTTGCGCTGATGACACCGGTCTTACCGATGCTGGTAAATTCCCTCGTTGCGCGTTAAAATGTCGCTAAGGCATCGTAAGAGTTCCAAGTGTCAAATTTGATATCTGAAATTGAATAGGCGGAGGCTTGCAAGTCTGTGGAAATGGCGATGAAGAAATGCCCGAATGGAATGTTGTCTGAGATAAAATACGATGGTGAACGGGTTCAAGTACATAAAAAGGGAAACGAATTTCGGTACTTCAGCAGGTCCTTGAAACCTGTACTTTCTCATAAAGTAAGCATCCAGTTACATTAGTTTTCTGATTTTCCTGCTTTTTGAAGTTACATGTCACGTTATTCGTTCCAGGTGAATCTGTTTAAAAATTATATTCCAAAGGCCTTTCCAGATGGCGATGATCTAATTTTAGACTCTGAAATCCTCATGATCGATACCAAAACTGGACAGCCATTACCTTTTGGCAGCTTAGGCATACACAAGGTTCGATTACTCGCTGAAATGTACGATTCTTTTGCGAATCCTTTCTCCCCGAGATTCTTTCGATTATCTAATTTTTTCAGAGAACTGAATTTAAGGATGCCAACGCATGTTTGTTTATCTTCGACTGTATCTACTATAACGGAGATATTTTATTGCACAAGTAAGTTGTCCAGTTTCATAAAAAAAAAAATTTATATAAATTAGTAGCAAACTTTTATTGTATGTAGGCCTATGATGCAACGGAGACGAATTTTAAGGGAACGAATGACAGAGATACCAAACAGAATAATGCTCTCGAAAGTCAAGGAAGTCTATGTAAGCAATTCTGATTCCATTCGTTTTGTTCAAAGATATAATTACAAAATTATAATGTAATTGCAATTTCAGAATTCCCAAGATTTGGCAGACATGATTGCTAAAGTTCTTAAAATGGGTCTGGAAGGATTAGTTCTCAAGGACATTCATGTATGTATCAGATATTACTTGTAATCTTATCATTTACCAAATAAGAAAGTATCATGCACTGTCATCTCATTGTTGTTTCTTGATTTTGACACAGGTGAAGTGCTCGATATTCATTTATTGCAAACACTATAATTTATATACACATGAAATGTATATATTCGCCAGAAAGTATCTTTATTGCTCTTTTAAAATGGTATTAATTACTCTTATTGAAACAACAAAAATATAAAGATACAAATATTTTAGTTTATATGATATGATTTAACACGAAGGATTTTCATCTGCCTTATCGGTGACTGGAAATTAAGTTGAACGTAATTCTTAAATTCACCGTTGTAAATTTTAGAGGGTGCAATGAATCTTCCAATTACTTTTAAAGTCGGTATTTTAATTGCACAAGATACCATAAAAATGAAAGGTCTATCCTGAACTTCATCTGTAACTTTTATCATCAACAATAAGCAATGTAATTCGTCAATATATGATTGTTTGCAGAGCAAATATGAACCGGGTAAAAGACACTGGTTGAAGGTAAAAAAGGATTATTTATACGATGGAGCGATGGCTGATAGTGCAGATCTCGTTGTGCTCGGCGCATGGTATGGTACTGGAAATAAAGGTTTGTTTCCCTTTCTTGTACCACAGATTTGGATCTTTCAAATTTGTAACTTTATACTTTGTGTTTTTAGGTGGTATGATGTCTGTATTCCTCATGGGATGTTTCGATGAAGACCATGACAAATGGCTAACTGTAACCAAAGTAAGGTTCTGCATACTTTGTAACAATAATGTGGATATATAACACTGCATTTGTGCTTCAGTGATTCTTTAATACAGGTGCACACAGGTCACGATGACGCAACACTAGTGCTACTTCAGGACGAGCTCGATATGGTGAAAATAGGCAAAGATCCAACCAAGGTACCATCTTGGTTGCACGCAAATAAACCAATGATTCCTGACTTCGTTGCAAAGGATCCAAAGGTACTTTAATTCTCAACTACTAAAGTAATCACAAGTAACGTTCGTATTTTCCCTCGTTAATTTTAGAAACAACCAGTATGGGAAATAGCGGGAGCAGAATTTACCAATCAGGGTGTTCATACAGCTGATGGCATTAGCATTAGATTTCCACGGGTAACACGTATTCGCCACGACAAGGATTGGTCCACTGCCACCACACTGAATGAGTTACGACATCTTTTTAAAAAAAATTCAGAGTCAATAGATGTTAGTCTTCTTTTACCCTCAAACTCTGAATGTAAACAAGAAATTGATAACAAAATTATAGCTAAGCAGAGTACGTCCTTAGACATAGGAACAATTTCTGACCAGAAATTAAAATCTCCGTTAAAGAAAAATAACAAGTTAAAAATTGAAACGTCACCTCTGAAGAAGCTCCATGGAAAGTCAGAAATTAATACCGACTGTGCGGTATCCAGTTCTAGTAAAAAAATTAACAAGCAAAAGTATAACGGAGAAGGGACCAATATTTCGGATCAAGAGGACGAGGGAAAGGCAGAATTTTACACTTTCATAGATAAGGATGTACGGTTTTTAGTTTATATTTTTTAATGAAAATCACTTTCGTTATACTTGCCTTAATTTACTACATTCGCTTATAGTATATCGAGTACACTGCAGCGGGAATTCCATTAAATTGGATTGAAGGACGAAAACCGAGAAACGGTCTTCCATCAGATGCAAAACCATTACACAGTTTAAGAAGTAGTGAATTGGTATGTAATTGGCTACAAAAACAAAAATTCTTCTTACAAGATTAAAATATAAGATAGTGATTTTTCTGTTTACAGAAGGCTAATAGTATTTTAAAGGGTGCACCAGTCAGCCTAGCGTCGAGTTTTAGGAAGAGCAAGCGAAAGTCCGTTCGCAAGGTGCTCAAGACGTATCCTTTTACTCAATGAACGACGGCCTCCTTCCTTGTCATTCTATCTTTGGAAACAAACTTCTCACGAAATTAGAGTTTGACTCGATTGGTTGCGTTCAATCAGCACCGTCCGTTACGACTTAAGGGACAGTTCTTAATTACTTTGGGGCGGGCACAGAATCCAGCGAAATGGGTTGCGATCCATGGAAAACTTGTATGTTAACCTCATACGTAACACTCTAGGGAAGAGAAGAGTTGGCAAGTAACGCGGTAGGAAAATGGAACACGAGGTTTTCTTTCATGTCTTAGCGCGTCTCATACTCCCTTGAGGCGGATTTAAAGCAGACGAGTCATTTAACGACTGTATCTTGAAGAAGGAACCGCGCGACCAGGTCGATTATCTTCTAAGGCCTCTCGCGAAAAAGAGGTCGCGAATAATCACGGTTCTCGTAACGCACGTGATTTTTTGAATCAAACACTCAAACGTTACCACCAGTTTATCCAAACTATGAATATTTTCTTTAATCACAACAAAATCGATATTAGACTTGGAGCCAAAATTTTGAAAGATCAAGAGAAGTCTGCAGCTACATACGTGATTCATCCTTCCAAGGAGATTTTATCTTCTGCTGTTCACGTACGTATGTCGACCTTTAACGCTTTACCCTAATGTTTGTAGAAAAAGGTACTCCCTTGAGAACAATTTGTACAAACCAACTTGATTAATTTAAACGTCGTTCCGACAAATAAATCCGCTAATGAAAGTAATGTTTTTTAGTAGTGAACGCGTTAAACTTTCGATGCGATTTTAAGTCGCCGGATAAAGGAGTATACTAACAAGATAGTTTCGCATCCAGAACTTTATTTTTTAGTAAAGTAAAAGTACCAAATCATGTCGTCTTTCAAGCAAATCCGTTTAAATATATCTTGGAAAATGCATTTCATTGTTCTTACGATTGAACAGCGAAGGACGCGAATCAGAAAAGGAGTGGATTTCGATCACGTCGTTAATGGATGCGTTTTAAATCGATCGAACGAGCAGAACTCTCGATAACGGAATTAAAGTTGGTTAACACCGGCACCATTACCGCGTGCTAGCGTCGGCATTAAGCGGCTTCCGGCTTCTGGAAGTTGTCAGCCTCGTTAACCGTAGGCGCCAATTGCTCGCGTCGCTTCACTCTGATAATCTTCCGCCGCCTATCGAATATGATTTTACCTCATCCGTGTGTAAACACGAACGTTAATCTCGCAATCACGATGCTTCTTCCGTTCAACGTGATCTTATACATTCTTCAGGACTTCGAGGATATACCAAAGACGGCGAGGCATGTGAACATCTCTTGGGTAGAGGCGATTGCATCGGTTTCTGAAATTCAACAAGCAGGGGAACATGCTGTGGAACTGGCTGCGGATTACTGCTCGTGTCCTTGTTTACACCGATGACACCCACCTCAAGATTTATTTCTCGCGAATCATCTTTCTCGACCTTACCTTGTTTTTGCTCTTTCTGAACATTCGTTGCAGTCACTAGCATCAAGGAATTATAAGACAGAACCGAAATCGTGTGTTATTTCCATGCAATTTGTGATCATATTTATACATATATTTCATAGTTCAACATAGTTATTGATATTCGTAATTGCAACCTTCTAGAAATAATTTTAAAATGTTCTACTATTGAATAATTATCAGACATGAGTTAGAGGTATTTTTAAAGGTATGTTTGAGAAGACTCGTGACTTTAGTCGTAGCAAATATATGGATATACCTGGACTAGATTACTTACCTTTGACATACTTTTCGTTCCGTATGTCCATTGTGAACGCCCATATTACTCCCTTTGCGTTCACAGATGTACGATATTCACTTATACGCATCAGCATGTTATCCTTAGAATATTTCATATTGATCGAAATGGATTATTTCGGAAGAGTCGAGTGATCTCATACGTTCGAATAAAATTGCGAATTTTTTTACATCTGTAATCATACCTATCAGATGTATTTGGAGAAAAGGGAATTATTGGAACCGAATGTGACTCGTTTTATTACTTCCTTCTTTACTTCCAGAGCGATTGCATACAACAGAAATAAATTCTTTATTGAACGTTTTTCATTAGTTACAGCCACTCATTTGCAAAATGAAGTCTGGTTTACAAGAACATAGCATTATGCTTCACTCGATTATCGAACAACGAGTAATTATAAAGTCTGTTTATGAAGGAGAACAAAAATGCAGGGTGGCCGAATATTATATCATGAAAACGCATAATCTCGATACGTATATCGCTAATCTACTGTTTTCTTAATATTAAGTATAATGTATTGCGGAAAATGGGGGTCCGTGCTGATTTGCAACCACTACATTTTCTTCCGGATGCTTTTCCGTTCTTAAATTATAACGAACGAAAGTAAATTTGATAATTAACATTCGTGTTAACCTTCCATTTGTGATCGTAGGATTAAATAATTTGATACTTATAATGTAATTAGTATCTCGCTATCGACAAGTATGAACGGGAATATGCACGGATGCAAATTTGCGACTAGAGCCACATCTGTATTCGTCGAGCTGTACTCAACTGTTTAAAAAGCTAGCGCCAGACAAAGAAGGGATAGACAGAGAAAGAAGAAAGCACGATGGCGGTCCTCTGGCTAATTGGACGTTCTATTTGCCGAAGCAGGAGACAGCATTGAAGGCGCACTGTTTCCAGTAGCTACGTTTACGTTGAAGATCACCGATGTCCAGTTGGTTTCGAAGCCGTTTTACGATCTGCTTCGTGAACAGGTAATTGATCAGAGCAGTCTCGATGCTCCCATCGTCGTCCACCAACTGAAACAAACGCTTAGGGCATCTCTTGGCAAGCCATAACCTCCATGCGAGTACACAGCGTGCGAATCGAAGGATATAAGGATATTCTGTCAATGTTGATATGTTGTGATTCGATGTGAGAAACCATTAGGAATGATGGCAAGTAAGCGAATGAACATTCGAGGGCATAAACGATTACTTAAAGCGTTTTACAAGAGGCTTACTTCATTGCGCTTTAAAAGGATTCAGAATTAAATTTATTCGTCATTATTTAAATTCTTATTCAGGTGAGACTTACACTTTAGTAACTCGTAAACAATTCCGAGAGCGCAAGTTTAAAACTAACAATAATGCGCTTTATGCCGCTTAGCGGTAGTTTAACAACTACATTGTTCGAAGTTAATTGCTATTGCTTCTAACGTCAGACTTTTGTGGTATTAACTTTTTTATTTTTCGTGAAAGCTAAAGCGCAGAATGTGTACGGCTCGATAAACATTGGTTGTACAGGTCGTATGGGCAAATGAAATAAATTTCATTGGTCGTAAAGCCAGGCATCGAAAACCAAAAAGACGAGTATGGGAAAAATTCTGTCTCTCTGCCTCTGTTCACGTATCGATCTCGATATTTTCCGTGATCTTTCGCGTTACTATCGCGAAAACCACGTTAATGGATAATAATGCCCCGGAAACTAACAGGATTTTATTTACGCTCAAAAGAGTTTCGCCGCGTTGAAAAACACCGGAAAATCGTTTAAAAAATACATGTGGATAACGGTATGGCTGAGCAAAGCATAGTTTTTTTTCTCCAGTTTCCGCACTGTCTCCCTCTTTCTCGTTCAAAAAATATACGTAAAATCGATGAAACGTAAAGTCACCGAAGCGAGATGAAGCATGCATGTGATGCAGGACAGGTAAATTTTAAAATGCAATAATGGAAACAAGTTTCAATATGCAAATAAATAAATATATTTAGAAAGAATTGGAAAAGGCGGGTGGAGCCAAAAAAGCAGCTTAATAATCCTAACTTAAAACAGTCCTCGTTAAAGTGCTTGTAAGCGGTTCAACAAATGAAATAACAATTTGTAAAAAGAGCGAACGATTAGGAAACAAGACGAAAAAGGAACGTGTCAGTCACTTCAGCCGAACGGTTAGTCTGACGTTTATAAAATCGTCGAATCAGCGTTCACGACGGACAACCGGACGCTAAGTGAAATCGGATTGCCGTCGTCGTGCTATCGATTATCGGATCAGCCGCAAATTTATCAGCCTTCCATCGAATGAACAGTCGCTTTTTATCGTCGCTTTTCTCTCCATACGTACTTCGAAAAATCGCCGCGGTATCCGGCTTTGCGTAAGCAATCTGTAAGATTAGTCCTAGTCGAAGTGATCACTTTTTAATATCGTTCGACTTTGTAAGACAGCCTTACGTTAATGTTTCTAAAGGAAACGTAACGAGATTCTTTTCAAACTTTGAAGATAGGCAGGATATAATAGATACAAAATAAGGTTACATACACACGAGGGAAAACGATATATCAGTTGGATATTTTTGCACAAGATACTCTCCTTTCGAAAAAGGCGGAATAAATTCTAATCGATCGAGGTTATGTTACGGAATATCGGCTCACCTCCGATATCCATTTCTCCGTAATATATGTATGCTAATGTCGAGCTATCATAAATTTCTTGTGCGATTTAAATACTTAAACAAACGAACCTCTTGCTACAGCTAAATCGTACATTATAACCTATTTGCAATTCAAACGTATAGATAAGAGTTACACAACAGGACTGCGTTCGAATAAATTTTCGATTTATATTTCATGCAACAAAAGAAAGGGAAAGCTTGAAAAATGTAAGAATACTTTGAGAATACTTTAATATTTCCTGCATTTTGATCTAATTTGGTTATGTTTGCAATATCGCACGTAACTTCCAAAGCAGCCAGCCCCTATGTGAACTTGCGGTCACTTGAACTCGTGCGATATATCGAGTTATCGAACGCGTCAAGTCTAGATTCACGGCAAATAAACAAACGCTTCGTATATTGGCCGAGTTTAAGAATCATATAATCCGAGATAAATAAGGATTTTCTAGAGCAACGAGATACTCGTAAACTTAAACGACTCGACGAGAGGAAATAACGAGCTAACTCACGATAGATCAGTGAACGTAATTTCGTTACGCTTGCAATTTACTTTGTAATCCATTGCAAAGACATACGAGTATTTCTGGGTATTTGTATCCTAACGATGCTTCTGTTCTTTGAGCGGGAAAGAAATTTAATTTGTCTCTTTGAAATGGTACCTATCAACGGTATATTGAAGTCTTAAGCAGCGGTCGTTCGCTTGGAAACATTTAAAGAAAATTGCACGAATATTTTTATCCGTCATTCTTTTCTCCATGTAATTCAGATACGTTCCAGAATAATTATGATTCCAATTCTTTCAGGCAATTACGAATCTCGAGGCACTAATCGATGTGTCTGGTCGAACGTAAATTGGATGTCTATAAATTTCAACAGATCGTTTGTCTATCGTCATGGCAGATGCAGAGATGTCGTTAAGAGAGGTCGACCGTAAAGATATGACTTATGGAATCCTAAAATCAATCGAGTCAACGTGTCGCAATTGAAATTGTGAAAATGAAGCGACTACTTTCTGGCGTATGGTATGTAGATACTTTGATGATAGTTGGTGCGTAAATAAGCATCTGTATCGCACCGTTTTGTAAATGTAAGTATGAAATATTTTCTGAGAAACGGTAAAGTATCATGATAATAATTATTATATGTAATATATACGAAATAATCTCGTATAATCTTGCATTCTTGTCATGGAATTCAGGACGACAAGGCGGCTTGAAACTATGCAACTGTATCGTGGTAAGCGGATCCTTTGTCTTTGACCATGCTGAGGACACGCGTGCGATTAAACCCGTATCTGTGGATTATCAGAGGTAACGTTAATTGCGCAGTTAACATCGCGCGTGCTCGAACCACTACGGTAACGTTAACGTGGCAATTCAAAATTGACTGAGTTCTAATCTCGTTTATCTGCACCACATATTGTATTGTTCTTATAAATATTTGGCAGATAGCACCCAGTGATTTCTGATCGATTGATAATGCTAGTAATTCTTAGCTTTGAAATTAATTCAAGCGAAGGTCATAAGAGAAATTGAAAACAGTTGTGAGAAGAACAAACTGTTCTTCGTTTTAGCAAATACATGGTTGACCCGGTTAGTTTGCACAAGCCTGCGGACAAAACTAACTCGATATCTGGCAAAGAAGTGGTAGATAAATTGAATTCGCGAGGCAGTCACTCACACACTGGAATAGAGACTGAGCAACAGGTATTCCGCTTTCTTTTCAACTACGACTGCTTTCTACCTTTACCAACTTCCTCGTGCGATTATCCTTTTCATTCTAGATCCTTTGCTATTGCTGTTCGTACGATTACCATTTTTCTTTTAGGTTCTATACGTGTTACGTCACTGAGATTGAATTAAGGAGTTATATTGTGTTTCAGAAGAATCCGAGATAAAACCCAATAAATCAGGGTTTAAAATTCGAAATAATCAATTTTAATCCTAATCTCGTTCGATTTGAGAGTTAGATACCTTCATTGACAGCCCACCAAGATAAATGTTTTCGGAAACAAAAATGCCTATCTTTTGATCGACGAACTTCTTTTGAAAATCATAGAAATTTCATTTAGCAGTTCTTGACTGATCCTTTCGTTGGATCTCATCAAGGATGGTCCAATTATTAACATTCTTTTGGCCGTTGGAAATGTCAAACAGTTTGAATGGGTCGAAAGTAATGCTTGTCATAATAATACGATACCACCGTATTAAAGAAAGGACGTTTCACTGTCCCTGGTGTGTTTCACTGTGGAATACGAGTTCGTAAGAAAACTGTTTTCATTCGTTTCGATGCGCGTGACCGTAATATGAATTGTCGCGTCTTTGAAAAGTTCCAGTTTCTCTCCTTTAAATGGCCCTCGACTGACGAAATTGTTCGAAATTATTATTTACTCACAGTATAATCTTTTTTCCATTTTCTAGGTGTTCAACCATGATCGTCGGTAGTATGATACAAAAGTTACATTTATTTGTTCTATCGCTCGGTTGCAATTAGCTATTTGATCGGTAATATTGTAAGAAAGAAAAGAAGAAAAGAAGAAGAAAAATAAAATGGAATAACAAATCTTTAAAAAGGTATAAAATATTTGCGCGATTGTCTGTGTATGAACATGCAAAGGCTGTTGACAGTCTGTACGTGAAGATTTGCTCCTTTGGATAAAACATTTCTTTTCAATCCTATACTTTTAGCCTAGAATTGAAACGAGTTCAAGACGAGCGTTACTGTCTTCCCCGTAGGTAAAATCGGGGGCAGCACAAGGTGAGAGGGTAACGAGGCACATTTATCATCGCTTGAGTGTCGCAGTAGCTACGGATTCTCTCAACTAACATGGGGCGCCAGCTCGTTATAAACGATATTCTCCTTCTTCATTTACACATCTCTATTTTACAAGGGACTAACTAACAAGTACAATCGATTGTAGTACTTCCATCAATTTGACCAATCTTCTTACATTCTTTACGTGGATTGTTTAATTGGGATGGGGAGGGGGGATTTTGTTACTTACGTCTACCTCGTTTAAGAGTCTCTCCTTGTCAGCAACTGGAAGGGCTGTTGACCAGTCGACTAAGACCACCAGGACTACAGCCATGAATACAGCAATTCGTAACGACGACATATTTCCGTCCTGTAACAGAAACTTTATTAATCCGGTTAATTAAGAGGACCATAGCTGTTTCATGTCTTAATCCAAATTGTTTTGTACAGCTTGCTCGTTTTGAGCAAAACAACCAGAAGTTTTGATAAAAGGTAAAATTATCAAAGACCTTTGTTGACAAAGTAGATACACCAATTTACTCTTCGACAATTTTTAAAATTGATCACTTAACTAACGCCTACGAAACAGAAATAAACGAACAAACTAGTTCACTTCGGTAAAAATTGCTTCTTTGCAATTATAGGATTTGGTGAAGATGAAAATCTGTGTCTATTAAGATGCATACGCGATGCAGCACGTCAAACGCTTTTTGATACACGTATCGCGATCGTACGGGGGTAACGAGTGCTCACGTATCACCCCATTGGAAGCTCTAAAAGAACCTAACGACGGCTTCGTGTGTTGATTACGTTCCAGAAAATCGAATGATTGCATCTTCGACGACGGTGATGATTCGTTCACTGATGTAGATAGTTATTTAAGACTATGATCAAATATAGTCTCTATCTGTCGCGGAAATTCTTTCTGCAAAAATAAAAACGATATCTGACTCATGCCTGAATCCTCAGGGACGATAGTCGAATTAAGTAAGACGGTAGTCCCTAATTATACAGCTTGTATTCAGTACCAGTGCTACTGGCTACCAGTGATAATTTAAGATACGCGGGCAGGCAGCTTCAAAGATGCTCGTTATCTTTATAATCCTTTCTGAGCCAGCGACAGATAATCTAGGATTCAAGGATTTTATGATCTTCAATAGATAACGTTTCTCAGACGACAATTTTATAACGTAAAAGTGAACAATGATCGTGTTTCTCGATAAGCTTGTCAAGTACGAAACGTCTCAATGGCTCTCACGTGTGTAATCAGGCGTAACATAAAAGATTTCCAGGATTCTGATACGATAACTTCCGGAGAAACGCACTCGAATAAAGTTATGAAGTTATGAAGTTATGAATCCCGAACTCGACGATCTCGAACAGGATTTCGTTAAAGTGAGCTCTGCCATATGAAGAGATTGGATCTAGTCAGTAGTGAAATATTTTGAACATTGTCAAAATAGGCTAGTCACAAAACCAACGTCGATTGATTTCATTCATTTGAATTTGATAATCCGTCGCCCAACAATTTCATCGGTAGAGCCGACAGTTCGATTCTGCTTGATGAACACGGACAGCCACTCTAGCTGTCGTTGACAGAACGATAACTCAACGAAGGAAATTCCGAGAGTGACACGGTGCTCCCCTGTTTTAAAAATACTGCCATTGGTGGCTGAAGCATCGTGATGCGATTCCGTGATTAATTAAATATTGAAATAATAGTGAAAATAGCCCGAGGTTGAGCCAATTTACCGTACGTATATCAACATAGCAGCTTCCTATTTGTTGTATCGTTTTACGTTGAACTATGCACGCGTTAGGTGTATCGTTATAAGAGGTGGGTAAAAGACGGGAGAGGATCCGATAATTACATGCTTGTTGCAGGGTGTTAAGAAACGTTGGCTAGAGTCGTTTGTCTTCGAAGACAAGGCAGCACAATGACGAGTAATTGCGCGACTCCATGGGCAACAGGTTCTCCGACTCTCTCTTTCTCTCTCTCCAATACGCGAATTAGAAGAACGGCCGCTCGTAATTGTAAGGTATAACGCGTTCGGGTGCCTATCGACGACTTATTTTAATTTACGTTAACTCTAAGAAACTATCACGCATGAAATTAGATAACACGAAAATTTTGTTTTAATCCTATTGAAAGGTATAATCACTGACAGTAATAATTTTACGAGTAGTTGTTAACACGATCATAAAATAAATCAATTTTCTTACATACTTTATTATAGACGTAACAAAATATTAACTTGAAATGATATTCGTGATGTTTTTTAAAGATTAAATAATATTCTGCCATTCCAAACATTTGTATTTTATATAACAAATTTTTAAAGCCTAATTTTATGATTTTCAGATTTTTTTTTATCGTTATGTCAAATGGTTAATTATATCGACCTGTTCAACTTTGAATACGAACAAATTGAATTATCCAGCGTGCAAGAGAACTACAATGCATGGAAATGAAGCACTTTGTACACATTATTGAAGAAAAACATATAATTTTCCGAATAAACCATTGCGCGGAAAAATGGGCTTTTTACGATAATTTTCACTGAAATGTCAAAGTCATTGTAGTCGAAACCATTTTGGAACGAACTGTGTCGCGAACAAGTCACGTAAATGGTGTCAAACTAATTTCCCATAAACGTGTAATTCCTCTTACTAATTTTTCTATGATTTTCACGAATGCATCGAAAGGATCGAGAAAGATATTGGCAATGGTAGCTTTGATTCTTCCGTACATATTTAGCCAAAATGCGACGATTAACGTTCAAACTGAATCTACCTGTCAATCGACATTGATCTATCAATCGAGAAATAATTAAACTTTACGTAGCAACTGCACATTTATTGAAAGATAAACGACGAAACACCTCTGTCTCCCAATGCAGTTATTTGAAGAAGCCAAGAAAGGAACGTTCGAGCAAGCGATTTATCGAAGATCGTGCAAAAAGCGAAGAAAGTAAAAATGATATACGAAGAGGACTAAGTACCTCGTCGAAGGAGTTGCGGAAAATCGAGATGCGATCCGAGGGTTGTCAGTGACAGCGGTTGCTTTTCGTGAGCAGCTGCGAGGATCGGTGCTTCAGCAGCAGAGTGACTGAGCTTGCAAGCACGCGACCACTTTATATCCGAGACACGGACTGGGTCGGCGGCGTTGGTGGTGGAAACGCTGGGGGTGGAAAACCCACTCCCGAGCCACTCTTTCGACGATCACGCGTTTCGCCGACGATTCGACGATATTTCGACGCCCGAATAGGAGCTTTCCGAACCATCGTCCCACGAGACACCTCTCCGTCCCCCACTACGATTTTCTCACCGTACCAGATACGAACGATTAAACGATTAATTCGATGAATACACGATTCGCGAATTAACCCCATGGGACTCGTTCGTTTTCGCGAACCGTAGCTACAAACGGCAAGGGAACAAAGAGAGATACTTTTGAACGCATTAAAGCTCCTGCTTATCAAGCCACTATCCTTCGATTCGTATTCTTTACGCTTACCGTTTTCCGCCTTATTCGGGTGACGTAATCAAAGGAGCATTACCCAGAAGTGTACGCAAGCGTGCGATGAGGACCAAATGGCGATAATTAATACCGTTTAGGATGAAGTTCATAACTTTGTACGGAACGAATTGAACGCAGAATGATTAGTTAGGTACGTACGTAGTTTCAGAGCATCACTTTGTCGGTGACAAAAGCATTCGGTATAAATGATCCTCTAAACTCTAAACCGATACGTTTCATTAAAATAACAATGCTCGAAGTGATCATGTTAATTCTACGCTACGAACTTATTCATTTCAGCGCCTTTTCTTTCATTTCATTGGAAATGTAAAAATTCAAAGATATGCGAATACTTGAAGGAATATAGAGACGCAGTCCTAGTAGGGTGAAAAATTAACGTACAGCAATCTTTCTTCGATTACGAAAATAGTTATTATACCAGTCCAAGTAAATGGAAAAACAATAATTTTTCATCACGTCCGGAAGCCCACTGTCAGCCTATCGGACGGACAGAATTGCGGGGCATTGCGGCAGCTGGGTTGGAAATTCGTGGTGACGAGAGCCAGGAATGTCTCATCCCCCAAAATATGCCAAACGGCATGCTCGGTCGACGTACCACAGGCTTGACTCTTGCCACGAGATCACATTCGTCCCTTTCTACCCCTGTATCTATCATTCGGTCGTGTTATAACGCGCCCTGTGTTTGTTATACGCGACACACGCCGCTCTCAATGGATTCCTGTTATAATCGAACTATTACCAGGCTATTTGTACACAGTGAAATCGTTTTGCGCCAAAATCATACCGAAATTTAACTCTTCTCGATCGTTGTTGTTCACACAAAATTTCGCTGCCTTCTTTTATTCCATCGGATAGTCGGTAAACGCCAGAGCATGGAAAACGCAACAGGGTTAAACTTCTTCCTCGATATTTCTTAGGACATAACAGTCGCTATAGACTAGATGTTGGTTAAAAAAATTCTTCGAAAATCATGTTCCATTGAATTCCATTAAGACACGTTGTACAAAGTGTCTGCACTGTCCTTCGTCTCAGCCTTCATTATTGCCATTGGTTGCATCGTACAACGACGATTTGATGCAGGTAAAATTAGCAAATTAAACGAATTAGCAAATTATGTCTGAATTGTGAGGAAAATAATCTACCTGACCAATTTGTTTCAGTCGTTAACTAATAAGAAAAGTGGAAACGGTACATTTGTAACTACGTCGTCCAAGCCTTGCGTTCTCGACACCAGCCATCGAAAGAAAGTGGTGAAAAATGGAAATTCGATCGGCGGGTGAGAAGAAAAGTATGAGTTTCTTCGTAAGTATGCTCGTAATCAATGGAATCAACGAATAAAGAGCAATCGATAGTCGGTCAGCGATAAGTAATCGGCTCGATAGAAATGGGCTATCAAGTATAGGGCTTTGAAGAACGTAACCAAACCAACGATGGCGATAAAACGCGATAAAAGCTGTGGGTCACTATTCACTAATACATTTTGCACGCTTTCCCAAAGGCACCAACTTCGGGTTTTTATTCCCGGCACTGGCGTCTGTCGGAAGTACTTGGGTATTTTGATGCCCGCTAAAAGTCGACTGTTTCACGAGACGTCTGAGAAGCTATAAACCTGCGTCACTTAATATTTATATCGAATTGGTAGTTAGTTTATATTCTTAAAGTATAAGAAGAAATCGGAAGACGTATTCTTTGAGGGAACAAGGTTACCGTCAATTGACTTTCGCTTGAGCTATCCAGTCATACTCCTACATTCTTAATACTCAAATACCTGTCACTTACAGACGATAACTGAACAATAAGCATTGAACAGCTATTACATTCTGCTTAAAATTAGTCTTAAAATGTGTCAAAGCACCTATCCTTATCTCTTTCAAAGCGTGAAAAGACAATTTTTGTATTTCGTGTTACTATTGTAGATTATCGTATTTTCCAAAATGTAGAAAATGGTACTTCAACCCAATCCGAGAACAAGGCATCCCGAAATTTCAGGTCGAAATTTTTTCGTCGCGCAGTTTATGGTTTAATTATGCAGGCATTCACACTCGTAAATGAAATTTTTATTCTCCCTTAGAGATTTTCGAGTTGTTAAGCATTCGGGTGTAAAATTGCAGCATAAGATAAGTCACAGCATGTAATGCAAAAATTATATCACTGGAATTTGCGTTAACGCATGTCCCACATAAAACAAGAAATTTTACAGTGTAAACGTAGATTATTTTCCCCTAGGAGTACACGAACTAGTGAGACCTCGAGATGGAATCATCGAAACGAAAAGGACATCAAAGTTGTCATTAAAAGTGAAGGTCGCTTGAAGATCATACAAGGATCATCGAGATGCATATAATAACAAAAATTGGGATGCAGATTTGGAATAATTGATTGCATAATGACAGTGAAGTCGATGATGAATCGATTTGGGCCAGCAACAAAATACGTACCCAGACACTTTAAGGATATTTATTTTTTATAATTTAATGAGCAACCTACGACTACTTGGTCGTGTTGTCGCTAATTAAGCATTTTCATAACGGTATCCGATGTCTTCACGTGCCATTCTTCTCTGTCAACTTCCCCATTCCATTTAAAGGAATTGCCTAACAACGCGAAAAATATATCCTTTGTCCTATACAGCTTGCCTATACAGTATCAACGACTTTACTTGAACTGGAATACACGCGACCACGTTCAAGGAACGGTCCTCGTCACCTTTGAATCTCTATCGCATGTCAATGATGATCGTATCTGTAACGTCAAGAGGTGCACGAACACAATTGTCTTTATCTTTCGACGATCGAGTGTTCGAACCGCTTTCACAGACAATTTGGAGAAGCATCGACTGAATCACAGTAGTACATACCGTTATTTGGTCAGGCACGAGGATCCAGTCTTAACGCCTTGTCACTCCTTCGTATACGATCTCTATTTCTGTTTTGTCATCAAACGATGCGATGTGGTTGTATGTTATTGAAAATACCATGATACACTAACGACACAGGATACGCAACAGCAAGTCGACCAGTAAATGCAATTTCCTGGAACATCGTAGTTTTAAAATTTCTTGAATCGCCATTCGATTGCGAAGACGATATTCTAGGATCCCCGAGAATATTAATTTGAAATGTTATACATCTTCTGTCTTCCTTTCGTCAGTTTTGTTTTATCCTTCTTGGTGACGTTACGTGATTCTTCAGGGGAATGAGAAAGGTGCCGGAGTTACGTAAATGTATAATAAACGATGAAGATCGAGTTTACACCCCAGGATGAGTTGCGAGAGCTGATAATTAACCCAAAGCAATTAAAGAAGCGGAAAAGACGAAAAATCAAAGGGGCAACCCTTTTTGACAAAGTTCACTTCCCTGAAGAACGTGTTTTTCCTTGACGTAATGGGAAGAATATCCGATACATAGAATGAAGTTTGAACGAAAGAGAAACGAAAGGCACAGGGAAACACGGAATTGACGACGTAGTAATTATCCAGTAACGAGGTAGAGTTTTGTTGGTCAAGAAGAGAGAAACGATTCCGAATCGATCGCGGAAAACGGCTGTCCTGAAACGGATCAAAGCTGTTACCCGGCTGAAATTGGAAAAGGGATTTATAATCAACGAGAAGTAGGGGAAAAGATTATCAAGGCTCTTTTGAAAATACTTCGATTCCTCGATGTCGTGCTTCTAGACGAGACACCGAACCTATGAACTTTCGGACACGAAATCATTTGGTTACTCAACTGCTAGTGTATGTTGCTTATCCTATTCGTACCCTAAATGCCACAGAGTACATAATAACAGGTGAGATACGACGATTCATTTCGCAAATAATGCAGACAAAATAGCTACAACGTAATTAACACGTAATTTCAGGTGATACTGTGATTCTAATATACGACCTGGAGAATTGGAGTCTTGCCGCATCTTTGATCTCGTAGGAAGGAAAGTCGAGGAAGAAATAGTGTGTTTTTTCGCAGAGTACGCTAGGTAATACAGGATTAGTTTACCGTGGTGGTCGCAAATCGTGTCGGTAATTCCTAGGTAGGAAGGAAGTCTCGAAGGGTAGTTTCTTTATCGAACCTCAATTCTTCAAATCGTGTACTTTCCACTTCTCTTATTCGCCGTCGATAAAATCAACGATTTCCCTCGTATTATAAATCCTTCCTCTTCCTTACTCTTTTTCTTATTTTGCACGATTAAGCCGAAATACCAACACGAATTTTAACAATTTCTTTGTAATTTCATTTCATTTTATATCGCGAGAAGTATCGTTAGAACTTCTCGATCCCTGGAGATTGTTCTCCGACTTTAAAATGGACTTTGTTTCTCGAAATTACAAGTTTGCACGAAATAAGATACAATGGGAACCGATAAACGGCTGATAATTGAAAAGTTATAACAAAAGACGAAAACGTTGTTAATGGGTAAACGAACAGGAAGTTACGATTCGAGTCGTAAACCTAGAAACATCTCGGTTTCTGACTGTGACGAGGAAAAAATCGCAACGGGTGGTTGAGTGGTACCAGAAAAGCCTTTAGACTGCGTTTCCATTATCCAGAACCGATCAGCCTGTACTCTGATTGATTTTCAATGTCGTTGACGCTTCTCGCAGTCTTTCTCACTCGTTTTATCCAACTTTTCCAAACTTATGTTATCGGGCAGTGCTCCTTACATCGTTCTGTTCACCAAACATTCCTCAAATCTTGATCATCAAACTCACGTGCTTTTTCCATTTCTTCGCGGACATTTAAAGATTAATGCATATTAAATTTGGCATATAACATTAGATCGTTATTCCTTCTACACGAGTCTTGGTATAATCCTGGCAATATACGATGAAACTTTTGGGAATACGCCATGTAATTTACGAGTACAAAATGAGTACAAAATTTTATCATTATAGCTCTGTCCTTTTATAGATGAAATACGTACAGCATAAAAGATGAGAAACATGGGTCTAACGCTGCCAGGAAGAACGAATATTCCACAAGTCGTGTAGATTACACACTGACTACTATAATCGCGTTTGTTCGATGACCGCTACTCAATAATCCGAAGAAAAACGTTTAATGAGCGTGTTACTGCAAAACGCATCTATGATAAGCCACAAATCACAGCACATGCTATTATTTCAAAGCGAATTTCCAACTGCTCGGTCTTGCGATAAATGAATCGCGTCACCGTCATTAGCTAATTAATGGTACCGAAGCTAATTGCTCGATGAGCCACACGATATTTGTTGTGGAAACGTTCGATCCGCTTTCGCTAAATAAACTCGAAACGTTGCGCGCGATTTTTCAGCGATAACGCGCACGGTCACGCGGAAAAATTGCCGTCATTTGCAAAATTCATCGAACTCTGCCAAGCTCCTATCAAACACGCGAAAGCTCCAAGGTAAAGGAACATTGCTTTGCCCTTTCTCCTTTACCCGTGCGAAGTCGTTAGCGCTCGAATTAACCTTTTCCTTATTTCACGCTTAATTAATGCATGCCTTAAAGCTGCATCCTTATTGAAGCAACAACAAGGAACCTTTTGTCGATCTTCCACGTTGCTTGAAGAAGCTGTCCGTTTTCTCACATTTCTGATGCCAGCAACAAAAGTTGCTGCTAGTTGTCTGTTTCCATTTGAAAGGGTAAAGATGAAGGAAAAATAGGAGACATGTCATGACACATGGTGACAGAAACAAATGTTTCTTCGGTCTATATATTTTGTCGATTGCTTCGCGACACATTGTTACTGTCAGTATTGATATGGTCTAAAAGCGTTATTAGAATTCCTGAAATGCCTGAAAGTTTATCAAAGAAATTAATTTCTAATATAAATAACGATGAATCTCGCAATAGCAATGAACAAATATTGTTCAATGCCCATTTAGCCGGATTTTGAAACAAACTTTTAGACTCGGGTATATACCTATGGGGATATCTATTTGCAAAGAACAAATTTTGCTTCGAAATCGAAAAAGAATTCCAATGTACCTCTGATTACTTTGCTTCAGCGTGGATAAAATGTTTCTACAAATTCGTTCTTTGTCAGGTACTGTTTGAACCATACATTGGTAACAGGCAACAAAGAGTTTAAGCCCTTACATTTCTTTTATTACAGGTGGCACTGTGTTTGTTAGTTACACTGGACACGTTTATCTCTTCGTACGTGATAGCGTCTACTTCATAAATCAACAAATGAGGATATTTACCGTGTGACTCAATTTATTTGCTGGACTCGAAAAAATGATCGGCACCAAAAATGCCCCAACCCCGGATTGCTCTGAAAATCAACGTGGATTGTTCTCATTGATAGTGCATGCGCTGTGATCTCATCAAGCTGAGGCATTCGTCGATGGTTAATGTCCTAATGTTCTTTTTATTCGTCGTTGAACGAATAGAAGGCAAGAAAGGAAGAGCGCGTTTCTTCGTAGTAACTAGTTCCTCGAAACGTTCTAGACAAGGAATGTGGGAAATTAATAAGAAAAGAGCACGAAAGAACGTGGGAAGGAAACGAGAACAGGAATGACGCGGAAAAGAAAAAATTCGGCAGGCGAGGAAAATCCATAGAGGAAACCGAAGTAACCGCACGTCACGTACTTGAGCGTAGCGCTATTAGTCGTTAATTATGGCCGGCACGTGACACCGGAAGTCGCTTAATTGAACGGAACCATTTCTTCCTCGCGGACCACCTGTCGCATTTACGATTCATTCTGCGCTCAAGCGAGAGCCGTTTATCGTTTTCCGCGGTAACGAGTCAGCCTGTTGGACATCATAGAAGATAAATGCGACGCTCGTGTAAACGCACGTAATTTAACGTTGAACTGCATGCGAAACCAAAAATGAGGCGTCCTGGAGGAAGCCTTTAACGCGTACGAAGCGAAACCTGAATAAAAGGGGAAAGAAACTCGAACTCTATTATTTGGCAAACAATACCATTGGAAAAGGCGGAGATTAAGATCGCGTTACAAACAGGAAATTTTCGGAGTTGGAAACCAATTTCTGACTTTGTAATCGGTCTATTTCCCTAACGAGACTGGCCACAAATCGGCTACCGTAACCGTGAATCTAACAACTACGTCTTTCGAACGAGTTTTCGTGCTCCGAAACGCGACTAAATTTATATACGCGTGCAACGAGATGCTCGTTTCCCAACTTTTAGCAACTTGTGCGTTGGCGCATAAAAGACGATCTACTAGGGTACCGATCGACTCGTAAACTCGTTACACCATTCGGTTTCTACGAGTGTGTCCGACTTCCACGTCAAGTTTCTATCAACTTTTTGACACGTTTCCGACTCGATACTGATTTCCCAAACTACGCGTTTGCCAACTATATATTTCGCTGTTATGCTTTTAAATGTATTTCTTCCATTTCCGATATCGAACTGAGGATAGGGAAGTAGCGCGTTCGTGAAATTTGCGTGCAATTCCAACTAAAACTTTTATTCCCCGTGAGGAGCGTCGCTAATTAAGCTGACAAGCGCATATAGTTGGTTTGAGCGATATGACGAAATCGTAGAATCAGTCAAGTAGAAAAATACGAATCCTCTGATTTCCAAAACAAATGTTTCACAGAACATGTCAATTGGCGTGACCTATCGTTAAAGCGTTGAAATACTATCGAATACGAAAGGCATAAGAATCGAGTACGATCTTTGCTCGCAACTTTCTGATCGTTGAATCGTTGAAAAACGATCGTTTCTCGTCCAATAGTCAGCCCGTTGGGACTTACCCTTCTCGAAAATCTTGTAAAAAGATTGGACCATCGTGGAGAGGAAGATGTACGACAGAATCACAGGATAACCCGCGGTTTCGCGAATCGGACAGGAATTCTCAGCGCCTGCGTAACGTCGAGCACGCGTACACGCCGAAGTATATAGGAGAGCGGTTGCCGCTCGAGGCGTCACATTGCAGCCTCGAGTACGTCCTTCGTCTTTCTGGGATAACTAACGTGCAGGATATCGTTAATAATCGTCGTTCGGTATCCTTCACCGATTCGTAGACTCAAGGTGTCGCGAGACGGTTTCCTAACATTCACGTAAAGATCGAGCCGGAACTGATCATCCGCTTCCTTGGACCCGAACGTTAAGACAGACGAAGGAAAGTAATCGAAAGAATCATCGGAGTTTCGATCACACCCCGTCTAAGATCCACGAAGATTCTATCAGAAGAAAGTTGCCTTCGACCAAAGAAAGGAAGTAATTCTCTTTCGCCGAGGTGTACTCGCGGATGCTGTAATCGCATTCGTGTACAACTTCTTCGACAGAAGACGGAACACTCGTACAAATGGGCAACGGGATTATTCCATTGATGGTGGTGGCGATGGTCCCGATAATAGCTGGTACCATCGGGCAGCGTGCTCTGAACAAGAGGAACGCACCGACGAATCTCGATTATCCTGACTATCCGACCAAATACGACGAGTATCCGGTAAGTAACTCGGCACATTTCACCGCGGTCATTTGCTACTTCCTTCCTATACGTCATGGTATACAGTTACGAAAAACATAGCGGCTAGATGAACTCGCAGGGTGACCGATGTTACGTCAAAACCGGTGGAAGATAAAGTTACATCGAAATGGGAGTGGGCGTAGGAAACGGTCGACGGAGCAGTTCGATTTTTTCTTAATATTTTAGCCACGAATACCGTCCAATTTCGATCGCTCCTAGTTTGTATACCATATGATAGCATGGCTTTGCAAACAGTCGTAACAAGCTATTTTGGTAATCCACGACGCATTCGAATCTTCGTCCCGTTTAATTCGAACGAATTAAAGAAATTTGTCTGTTACAGTCGCAGATTTTCGTCTCGTTCGTTATTATAGATAGGAAGGCAAACGACTTTGAATCGCAATCAACAAGTAGAACTAATATTTCCTTAGTTCTTATACTTTGTAAATTCCTATTGTAAATTCCTATGCTTTCTTCCGCTTTCTCATAGTGTTTTCAAATTTCTGTACCACGATTTAAAGGATTTAAAGAAAGTAACATTGTTAGCATAAAAAGAATGATTAAGTCTTCGGAATATTTGAAAGAAGAAATAAACGTCGATAGCAGCGATACAGTGCATCGTGTAGACTACCTGTTTCAGAAAATGAAACAGTTTTGAAACGTTCGTGATTGAAAGTACAAGCGATAAGTCGTCGAATGGAATCGATCCAATCGTCTTTACTTTCGATTCTGAAGAAAATATCTATAGCTTCCATCCGATAATTGTATTATAGAATATCCAATTCTTCGTCGTCGTCGTCCTCGTCGATTCTCACAATCTGTTTTCATCCCTTCCATGTTTCACTTGAAACTCTATTCTTCTCAAGTTTCTCGTTACTTGTTATATATTTGTTCTTCGAGCTTCTTTGTTTTCCTGTAAATTATAGTTTTACGTAAGCCAAGAATATTTCTGTCCTTTATGGGTCTCAAGCTTTCTCTTATTCCTATTTACTTCGTGCCATTGCACGCGGAAGTCCATTGTCGTTCAATTGAATCGATAGTATTTAATTGTTCATCTGTAAATTGTACATATCCTTTAAACGTCTATAACCCATGTACTCATCCACAAAGGTACATGATTATATTCGATATTTTTCGTCCGAGTGAAAATTTTTGCCGAACGGATGAAAATTCTTGAAGGTTGTCTTTAATTCAAACTATCATCGGAATGATGATATCTATACCAAGTCAGATCTGGATAAATTATCGCCCGAAAGAAATAAGAATTGTGTGAAATAAACAAATTTGGAATTTTCGACGGAAAATGCATTCCTCTTTAACGTGTACTTCACCAAAAATCTTAAATACTAGAACTACCAGTAGAAAGAACGAACCAGTCAATATTACTAGTTTTAGCCTTTTTATTTTTATTAACTTTCATCGAAATATAAATATAATTGTGTGTATATATATATTCGTGTATTTTCATCTTACCACTTTAATTATTATCTATCTATATTGCATATTAACGTGCTATATGTACTATCTTTCCATTTTCTCAAAATCAGAGAAATTTAATTCTATTTAATCAATAAACACGTGAAATTCATTGATAGAAGAATTAAGCTTCTTTCTCCTTTCTCCAGCTGAGCCAAGGTAGCACCGTTTCTAAAAGTGAAGAAAGTACGAAGAAAGAACTTGTAATTACATTGTCGTTACTGTAAACTTCGAGACCGATATAACAAAACAAATTATTTATAATTATTTTTCCTACGATTGTTTTCGAATTAAAGTTGATAAAAAGGAGTCGAATGCACGAATTTGAAAACTCGCGAAGAAGTCGGTGGAATATTAGTGCTTATTCTACGATGTATCCCACGAGTCGATCGATCGGTTCGACTACCAATTGATTTCAAATTAGAAAGTTCTAATTACCGCAGAAACGGATGCCAAGATGACGTATCAAAACGAAATCGAAGCGACATAGCATGGATTTCGACAACTTATTAATTGGCTTGTCTGGCGATCGTTCGATTAACTCTTCGTTCTCGGTAATTTTTGTCGTGCAACTCTTAGGAATCGTTTTCGATTAATAATTCTCGCCTGACAGCTTGTTCGAATAAAATCTTACGATCGGACATTCAGAAAATGAACAACTTCGATTTCTCTTTCGCTCGTTTAGTTACAATCCATGCGCGTTAATTCGGAAGCTTACGCCGAGGCCGAGTCAGTTAATTAATGAATCATTTCCAACTGCATTAATCACGTATACGTTTCACCGATGAAATAAGACTCAGTTCTAATTTGACACGTCGACTTCGCGCTAATTAGTCGCTGCGCACGCATTCTGACTTGTACTAATTACCGGTTAATCCCACAAACGATCAAATTTCGATGAAAGACGTCATTTGATTAAATTATCAGTGAGTTTTCTATCCCTTTGGTATTTCGTTTCGAATGGTATTCGTCTATCCGACACAATTAAAGCTGTGTGGGAGACTGCAGTGCAATTAACACGTGGTTCGTGATATTGATCCAGATTTTTATACGTTAATACGTAGGAACAAAATCGTACAGATTATTTGTCCCTTTTCTATCTCTTCTGGAAAGGATCAACCGCCCTATTCGTCTTCGTTAAGGATTTAATAAGGTTAGGTTTCGCGTCCCCCTGACGTATAATACGAAGCAAAGTTCAAACTAATTGTTTCGTTCTGGTAAATTATACGCGTACCATGAACGAATCTGTCTTCCGAATCGATTTATTATATTATCGAAACAACTGCGACTAGCAGTTACGGGATACAAGTTGGACACTTTATACAAATGGTGCTACTTTTTCCAATTTTCCCAGCTTTTCCGTGGAACATATAAACTCTAGGTTACGAATTGGTATAATCGTTACGATCTTTCAAATATGGCGCCAAGAAGTGAGATAAGATAGTCACTGACATTTCCAGCATTAAAGTCTCTGAAAAGACGTCGCATCGAGTCGTGTCCCCGGAATAGGTTTCAATCGTTAATTTGGTTTCATCGATAACGTCGGGCTGTGCCCAAGCTTCTCGGTTTTACAATTTCTTCGATCCTTTGATCGATACTTTTACGCGACTTCGATTGCCTCGAATGTTTTTACCTCAACGTCAGAAACGATAAATCTCGGACGTTATTGTTACTGTTTGTCGACGAAATGCTAAAAACCGAGAAGCAAAGATACCTCCTTTGCGAAACTATGTGTGTTGGTTACGTTTATGACGTGTCACGATTAGACAATACGATCGAACTGTTTTATACGTGGATAATCGATCGAAGATCGCGAGAAAGGATCGAACGAGCGTCTTTCGTTGTTGTGCTTGAAACTCATCTCTCGGCAAGTTTGCGGTAATAACTTTTATGTGCTGCTAATAAAAACGCGCCATTGATGTTATATATAGCTTTAATCATCGTTAAATTGATTTGCCGTGACGACGTCGAATTATTTGCGCAAGAAAAGGACCGTTGGGCTCGGTATCAAGATTAGACGAAGCTCCGTCTTTCGATTTCGCGTTTGTCGACTGTCATCGGAACAATGTCTTCAATACGTTCGACTATACCTACAGAGTCTGAAGTGCACACCAAAATTTCATTGTACGAACAACGTTCAAGAAGACACGTATATATGTACGTACTTTAAGATACGTTTATATTACGAGAAACACGGTGTTATTGCTTTTGTATGTACTATGCATCGCTGTACGCGTGCATCATTTTCTTTCTCAGTCGGAATAATAAAAGACTGCGCGATACACCGCAGAAAGTTTCTGCCACGCAGCTCCCTGAGCTCGAGAATGTCAATGGGTGTGAAAAGGTAGGATACGAAGGACAAGTTGCAATGGATTAAAAGCTGTTTCATTAACCTGAATCTCGTAACGCGGAAACGTTTCTTCGATGTAACTGAAGTTCGCTGTGAAAGGTACGCTTCGATTGCACGCAGAACGTCTCGAACTATAAATTTTCACTCCATGTACCCCCACGCGTTTTTCATTTCCAGCATTTCGTGGCTGTTTTTTTACATCTATTTATGCGACGAAGCATCTGCCTCTCGAGTACTCGCGGAACAATGTTTTACGATCGTTGCTTATCTTACAGTTAGAAAAATGTTCAAACTTTTCCCTTCTTGCTTCTCGTACGAACCACGAATGTTAATGGAAAGCAAATTGCACTCGAAACAACTTTCGATCGACGTGTGCGAATCCTTGAGTGGACTACGAATTTCGAGACAATTGAATTTTCACGCTGGATAAATTGTCACGCCGTCGAAAGAAACGCACTAGTTTCGATCGATGAGAGAGGTTTTTACCGGAAAAAACTAACACGTCTTTCGAATTCGTCGACGAACAAATTCTTCGTAAGCGAGTGCACTACCAATTTGAGTGAAAATGACGATATTAAAAAATTATAGGGTACATTTCTTGGAAAAAGAAAACCAGCAAATGAAAAACTTAATATAATTGAGCATTCCGAGAACTGGACCGATCGCAGATCCAAGAATACGACCATTATTGCTCGTCACAGCTACTGGAGAAGCGTTTTCAACGGAATGAGCCAACTTTTGAAACGGAAGTAAGTTTAACGTTACTTTTACGAGGCCCTTGGGGAAGCTACTTCGATCGGGAACGCGTATACAGATAAAATTACGTTTCCGTTTTCTAATTGTTGGAGAATAGTCTAGTAGACTGAGAGGACCAGCAACGATTCGCAAGATGGAAATTCCCCTCCCTTTTTCAACGATTCGACAGCGCCATACTTTTGTCGCCTTTAACTTCTAAATTGTTTACTGCAATTCTTTGATCGCGAAGCTCAATTGTGGTCAGTCGTTTTCGTTTGTCGAACCAAAAGGGACAAATTCTAAAACGAATATTCGTTCAAATCGCGAGAGATCGTATGTTACGCGTCCTTTCTACAGAACAACCATTGCTGTATACATACTACGGTACCGATAGTACTGCTTTAACCGCGAAATTCCATAGACAACGTTTCTCCTTAACGATGAATTACTCTCACGTTTTTCGGCAACATTTTTCTTTTCTCTCTTTACTTTTTCTCCTCTTATCCTTTTTTTCACCTCTATCTCTTTTTCTTTCAGTGACCACCAACGCATCGGTCGAATAGCTACCCGCGTTCCATTAGCAATTTCCATATCTATTTGCGGCAGACAACAAATTCATTCGGAACGTGCATACACGTATGTGCAAAACATCGCGGACTCTCTCCAACTGCGAATAAATCGATTAATTTGTCTGTCTTTGTCCATACGACAACCATCTGGTTCTATTGTTCACAGCTCGATGTTCGTCGGCTACTAAAATTAGCGATAAAAGAATTAGCGTTTAACTCGCGAATATTGTTCGGTGATACGCGAGCCTGTGAAACGATTACGATACTTGGCCTGCTGGCATTGAAGCGACTAGATGAGTCTACGCCGTCAACAATTATATCCATTCTGACCCGACGAATGGTCACGTAATTATCGGTCTGCATTTTGCCATTCCGTGGGTAATTACGACCTGCGTTCATGGGTGGGCGAGTTTCATTGGGCGAAAACAATCTTTTTGTTACAGAAGTGGAGAAAAACGAGCCTAGGTACGAACCGAGATGTAATTTATAATTACATAAAGCGTAATATCCCGAATTGTTAATGATGTTATATCGCTGAAACGTTTCTGTCAATTAATTTTTTACGCGCGACGTATTTTGTTTGAGGTCTAAGTATTGATTTTATTAGAACCATCATAAATACATGTTTTATTTCATCGATCATTTACATTTTTATTTCTGTGCATAATTCACTGCTTTTTGGGGGAGCTTGGAACGCTGTTAAGACGGCCCTGCCCATTAGGAAGACGAAGAAGGGAATAGAATAAAATGAAATTACATCTTTCGAAGACAATCAGTTTCTAGAAACGGGACCTTCGAATGACAATCAAAGTCTGGTTTATTCGATGTCGAACGAACTGCGGAGTTGTCAAAGATTATTTAGGATGAAGGAAACAGAGATGGTCGGACACACTTGATAGCACGTTTGATCTCATCGATGTCTAGTTCGAATTCAATTATCGATAAGCGACTAACTCCATCGTCCACGCATTTGTGATTAAATTAGTGATAAAGACGGACAATGATAGAATAATCGCCCGACTAACCTTTCGTATTTGATAGACCGAGTTTTTAAGTCACGTTAGAAGCATCGATTTTAATGAATCTTTTCAGCAACGATCTCACGAATCGCAAGCCTTTTTCCGATATCCTAAAAACGCATTGAAAAGTGACTACGGCCAGCCTATTGTACCCAACGATTATTAACAGTCCCCTTTGTTCTTTTCACTCGTAATCCAAACACGCGTGTCATTTACTGACATGTTTAGCAAAGTCATTTTCTTGGATCGATATAAAGCTCGATCTATGTTCCACGGTATCCTTTCGTGCATAATCCTTGATCATCGGATCTCTTTTGCTCTTTGTGCCATTAACGAGCTCTTTCTTCTTTCGTTCTGGATACTATAATATTGAAATAATAAAGGATGTTCAAAGAAAAAAAAATTCCTCGCCTTAATTAGTTAATCTATTTCAAAGACTCGAGAAGGAAATGCTCAAATTGCAATATAACATATTCTTGAACTAAGTACATGTTGATGTACTTAGTAATACGATCGTAATGTCTTTTTGATAATCGACTCTTTCTTTAAATAAAAAATAAATACTTTGAGAAAGTTAAACAAAATTTCAGAGTGAGATTCGAATAGAACGTAGTCGATTCGTTTTCGCCTTTCTTAATGGAATTTACGTTACAACCGGAATATCGATGTGTTCCAATTAAAAGGAATTATTTAAGAGCCAGGAAGGTTTTAGCTACGTGGACATTGACGGGAGATTTAATTATCCTTCGAATCATCTTTTAGTACATGGTAAATCTAAATTCGATAATTTTATTTAAAATAAATTCCACGGATGTTCGAGCAATTTTTGCCAATAAAGTGATACGGCATAATTTTTACAAACCCCTGCAAAGGCCATTGGATATCGTCAATATCAAACGAAAGTCGTCGAAAATTGTATAAAGGTCAATCGAAGTCGTTTAAATAACATTCTGGTCATATTGAGATTATTCGTAAACATTTGAGATCTGAAGATTACTTAATTTTCGATTTACTTACGCGTATATACACGTGTGTATGTACACGTATATATTACACGAAAATATCACAAAACTGCCTTCGAAATATCGCAATAAATTTGTGTAGGAATATCTTGTACAAGATTGTCAAAGTGATGCTCTTTCGAGATAAATCTACAAACACAGTCATAGAGTAACCACTAATAAGTTTCACGGGTTCTCGTAAAATTGCTTAAAGTCAGTTTAAAAATGAGAAAAGGAGATATTTGCTTCTTGCGTTTCTATCTCAATCGTTGCTAATTCTTGTCGATCGGTTCTAAGATAAAGGTTGCTGCGCTGCTCGATGCTTCTTTTTTTAATTACTTCCAAGTTCCTATACGCTGTTATTGACTCATGGCAAAGATTTTTAATTACTTTTGACTTCATTCAGGCTTTTCGCGTGTAGCGTTCCTGCCATCGGCGACGTTTTCATTCGTGATTTCTGTCTTGCCTTCGAGCTAACTTTATGAACGAGAAACTTGGACTCAATTTTTCTTCCAACTTGTTCTCAAATCCCACTTTTTCTTTCCGTTAACAAAAGCATAATAAAATGCCTGAAATGAGTTGTTTTTCTTTTAACGAACGACACGGCAACATTAGTTGGCATACTTGGCAGTTCATTTACAAGGATGAAAGAAAAGTTAGGGAAGGTTAGGAGTCGGTACTTTATTCTTTCGGAACGGATGACAAAGAATTCGATCGAATAAATTACATTGATAAATCAATTGCTTTTATATTCTCATAAATAGATCGAACATCTAATATCGAAATTCAACTGTCACGATCTCTATGAAACATTACGAGAGAATAAAAGCTGGTTGCAGATCCTTTGGGAAATCGCCGGGTCATATAACAGCGAGAAAGAACCACGTTTATGTTACTGTTTACCTTCCCATGTAGACACATGTGGGCTTACTTTTCCAAGGAAAATCAAAGTTTACTGGCCGTCGGTTTCCCTCGACATAGGAAATTGAACATCCCGTGGTCCAACTAGAGCCCTGTTTCATCGATACGAGACATTTATTATGTCAATTCGTTAACACTTTTTTAATTACCATTTGATTTCTAGGTTTGTTACCTCTTTCGATATTCTACCACTAGAGATCGCTGCCTTCGATCGAAGAGAAATAGTAGTCAAGCGAATCGGCTAACTGATGTGAAACATGTACGGGTAATGACCGTGATAATTAGATCCTCGTCGAGTTACCAACTTTCGGAGAGCTTCGAGCAACGATGAGATAATCGAGTGGAATCCTTTGGTAAACGACTCGTTAAGTCGTTCGGATATATTTGGTATCCTCGAAAAACTACGCGTACGCTACTGCCGACAGATTTTCCACGGGATTTAGCAACATGCGATTAAACTATTATTACGGAATGATTAATTTTGTCCGATAATAAGATCTATTTAATCGAAACGATATCTATTGAAACATGTGCGAAATATGTTATATCTGTACTGTCTTCGTTTATTTGAAAGTTTCTCGCCGTTTTATTTCTCGGAGACATTGTTTTTCGTGATAAAAGCAATTTCAATTGGAAGAAATGTTAAGTTAAATCCGCGCGCAATGAGATATTAATTCGATAGGGCAGAGATCAACAGTGGTTAAAATTAGAGACAGAAAAGATCAAGAGTTTCTAGACTCTGCAATATTTTCACCCGGCTAGGGCTTTGTCCTAATCATAAAACGAGAAATATAAAAGAAAATCAACGGGAGATTAATGTCAGATGCCATGATTCTGCATTAAAACTCCACGGCAATTATCCTGTGGTCTAATTAATTTTAATTGGCGTAAACATTAAATATCGGGAGTAAGGGGTGCGAGAGATCGATGGAAACGAGCAAGATAACAACACAACCACCTTGTGACTGTGTATTACAGTCTATGCCGCTAGTCTACGCCGCTTGATACCATGCAATTAATTATCGCGTAAATCCTGCGCACGTGTAATTACCACACTACTGAATACCGTAAGTTGTGGTAAATGTTATTATTCTTCTGGTCGAACGAAACTTTCTTTTTTAGGTGGTTATGCCGAAGAGAGCGGCTCTTTTGTTCGATCAAATAATGGTAGCATTACAGAAGGTAGTGGACAATCAGGGCAGAGAAGAACTCGGAGGCAGCAGAACATTCACGAGATCTTCGGGGGCTCACCTACCAAGTGGAAATTCGCAGATCGTTCCATCAGCGGACGAACAAACAGTGAAGGTCGTATACTTATTAAATTCATATAAAGTTATGCTTATATCAAAACCGACCAACATTTATTTTCTATATAGATGGACCTTCAACGACGCGGACAGGCGAAAGGGCGAGTTTACTGGCGTTGTTACTTCAACGCTGTAACATGCTTCAAGAGAAAGTGATAATGAACCGACGTAACCAGTTTACACCGCGACTTCGAAACCCGATTCGACCACAAGATTCCTCGCATGCTTTACCCGGTCACAAGAGAAACAAATAAATCACTAACTCAGGACAAGCTAGACCCTAAGTTCAAAGATAATTTTGTCTTTTCGTACGAATGTTACCACTTTTCTGTCTTCGAGTACCTTTCCGTCTACCCCCTTAACGCTCTTTCGTTCTTCTTCCGTATTAACTTACGTATTAACAGTGAAAACAACGGTTGTATTAAACAGTGTATCAACTATATATTTCTTTGATTTATAAAATGATCGGCATAAAAATATCGATTAAACGTATCTACTCAAAACGCATAAAATTAGACGAAACGTGTTCACTCGATTAGTTCGAAATTTAAACGATCCCTTATTCATGCATGATATATATGCAGACAATTCTATCCATTGCATCCCGAATCCTCGATTAATTTGCGTACAAGGTAAGTCTATTTTGATAGGCAAAATAATTAAGTAGATTAGAAATTCTATACGAAAGATTCTCTTATTTAAATCATTTATTTAAAAATTGCGTTACAAGGATAAAATATACAGGCATTACTAAATAGAATCACGTGCTTTCATGGCTACGGATAACCTTTCCAAACAAAGAACTAATTCACAGTGCTTAGTATATGGAAACATATCTACAGCGACAGCCTTTACCGGTACCATAGGTTCTCCGACATATTGCTTCGAGACGGGCTTAGCTAGGTCAACTAGATTTTTTGCAGCTGCTCGAGGATCACAAGATATATATACTAATCTCGATAACTTTTTCGATTTGCGCATAGTCAATAACGCTCTCTGATCTGAAATAAGTACATCTGTGTGTGTACATATATACATATATTTTCGATGAAATTATAAATATTATGTTAAAGGTATCTTACGAAGTCCGGCTCGCGGAGGATCTACAACGGCAATGATATCGGGCTTAGTAGTTCTCCGTACAACAGCAGATAAAATATCTTCAGCTTTGCCAACGAAGAATTCACAGTTTGATATTTTATTCGCAACGACATTTTCTTTAGCGTCTTTAATAGCATCCTCTATCATTTCTAATCCAAACACTTCGCCGCAATACTGAAATCGTTTGCATTTATTTCTTATTTCTTTAATGTTTTACTTAACAAATCTCCAATACCTTAGAAAATGCAAGTCCAATTGTCCCGGTACCACAACAAATATCAAGTAGGGCAGTATCTGCAGTTGGTTTTGCTAAATCAATAGCTGCTTTGTATAATACTTGAGCGCCTAACGTATTCACTTGAAAGAATGCTTGAGGAGATATCCGAAATTTCATACCCAGCAATGTTTCCTCTATGTACTTCATTCCGCTAATGTGATCAAAATTATCTTCCCCTTTTCCATTGATGCTTCTAAATAAAAGGAAAAATCAGCTTAATTGAACGAACGGAACGTTTTAAGTGTTAAAACATTTTTCTAAAAATTTTACTTCATCTTCATTATTTGAAAATATAACGATGTTACACGGGCTTGTGTGCCTTCCCCGACTGTGAAAAAAGCTTTCAATTGTAATTTTAATTCCTCCAATTTTTCAGGAGTTAAATCTTGAGGATGTATTCCTACTATTACCATAACATCATTGCAAAGAGTAGTTCTAACAGTAACTTGTCTCCAGTACCCACTATGATCAACTGGATCAAAAGGTTTCAATTCAGTATTTTTTATGAACTCTTCAAGAACCTAAAATACTCTTAATACAAAAAACAAATCTCAGACAGTAATCTAAAAGAAACTTTTTAAACTACTTACTTTTACCACTACTTTCATTTTATCAGGAATATGACAAAGATTATCTATGGGGCCCACTGCTGTGGAACCAGCTGCATAACTCGATAATCTGAATCCTATGACAACTTTGTCCTCTTTATCACTTTTACCTAAATCAAACTCATTATGCATGATGTAATTATCATAAACTATCTATTAAGATAAATAAATTTCATATGGAATTACCAACTGTAAATTCACATTTATTTCTATATCCTGTAATTGCATCAGTACTTAATATAGGAAGTAATTCACAAGGTAGCCCTTGATATTTATCTTTCTGATAATTTAACCAGTCCAGAAGGTCACCTTTACTTTTCTTCAACATTTGTTTACAAATAGTTGTTAAAATTGAACTCATTTCTTTTTGTTTTAATTCCAACTAAAAGCATATTATAAAGTTTCTTTTATATACATTTTTATCTTACATTATTCTTATTTATCTTACCTGACTTGGATAAAGCATATTCCAAAGGGGAATTGTAGTCAATTTAACTTTATCCTCTATGGATATACTTTGACTATTTTCTTCCATCTTTAAACGCTTATTTGAATTTTCTTCTTCTAATCTTCTTTTTACAAATGGATCTGGTGCTGGTTTTGCTACCTATTTTGAATTTAAATATTTTATATGTATGTTATTACTAAGTACCAAGATTCATGAAAAAACTTTAAGATACAATTCATATTGTTTAAGAATTAAAGTAACATAATATAATACCGAATTAAAATACCTGAGCACTAAGTTTACAATTTTTCCACAATATTCCATTTAAGGTTTCTATAGCTTTTTGTCGATTTTCTTCGCTTCTAAAAGATACAAAGAGCCATCCACTGCTTTGTTTCGGTGGTTTTATCTTACATGATTGTAAGTCTAGTTTTTCATTTAACAGCTTCTTAAATTCACCAATTCCATAATATTTGGGTAAACCGCGTACCTCAATCTTGTATTTTTCTGAGGTAAAATCAGCTCTTTCAAGATATGCATAAGGATTCTTTTCTACCTCGGTAGTTTCGTTTGCAGCCATATCTTTTATATTCTTTGTTTAATTATATTTTAGACGTTTCATCCAGCGACCATATCAATTTCTAGTAATAAATAAAGATATGTAATCTAACCACTTCTTTTTTTCCTATTCTTCAAAATTCATGTGCTATCTATTATCTCAGGTTATGTTCAAACCGGCTTAATCTCGGATCAATGTAAACTACATATCTGCATTGAAAATGATTAAAAGGAGTTTGTTCTCGATAAAGGTAATTGATAAGTTTAAAGTGTAAAGACCTTGATCTGCGTAAGTAAACACTGTAAATTAATGTTATAAAAAAATGATTGAATGAATATAAAAAATTTATATAATTTTACGAAAGTTTTATATTTTAAAAATGTTCTCAAAATCTGTTTGGTAAAAGTTCATTATTATTTAAAAAATACTTTTTCTAAGTGATAAATATCCAACTGTAAGATTTTAGTTATTTTGCCAATTAATATATATTTTCATGCTCCTATCCTAAAAGTATTATTTTCTTTAAATTAAAATGAATCAGCAAGCTAAAAGTTGTTACTTGAAAAGCAATGATAAAAGTTTACTAACAGTGTATCTACCAGATAAAAAACTAATTATATTGGGTCGTTGTCCAGAAACAAATGTTACAGATACACAATGTTCTAGACAACAAGGTTAAGATTTTATCTTTTGACATATGCATTTGATAATTACTTTTTATATACTTTATTCATAAGACTTATTGTATGTTATTTTTTTGTAGTACAATTATACGCAGATTATCAAGAATACAAAGTATTCATCCAACAGTTTGGAAAAAGATCCTGTGGGTTTAATGGCTTTAAAACACGTAAAGATGTTAAATTTATAGGCAAACATGATGATTATTTAGAAATTTTATACGGAAAGCATATTTATCAAATTGAATTTAATCCTCCACCTCAGAAAACTAGTTTATCAGAAAAAAGAACTAGGGACTCAGAAATATGCAATGACAATGAAGAAAATTCTCCTAAATTAGCTAAACTTGAAGTTGATAATATAGATGTTACCAGCCCCAAGGAAACAATTCAGGAAAATGAATCACAAAAGGAAAAGAAACATGTAAAAAATGCCCATGGAATCTTGAAATATATAAATAGAAATAAAATGTCTTTAGATAAGTTTGGGAATGAAGATAACATAGTAGATTTAGATACCAAACAGGACATATGGGAAATTCAGGAAGATGGTGCATTATTAATATATACATCACAGGGCATGGAAAGTCGTTCAAAGGTAAATGAAAAAAGATATTAATATCTTTGAAAAGTAATTAAATTTTTTTATATTTAGGTAGCCGCATATGATATGGATGGTACTTTAATAAAAACAAAATCTGGCTTAGTATTTCCAAAAGATTATGATGATTGGCAACTTATATATCCTGATGTGCCAGTTAAATTGCAGAAACTGTATAACGATGGCTATATGATAGTAGTTTTCACTAATCAAGCATCTATAGGGTCTGGAAGAATAAATGCCAAATCTTTTAGGAACAAACTTAGGAATGTAATACAAAAGATTGGTATTCCAATGCAGGTACATATCTTTTTTCTATAATAATAAATAAATTGATTTCATGTATATAACTGCATTTACAGATATTTATAGCTACTGGATATAGCATTTACAGAAAACCAGCAATTGGAATGTGGCAAAAAATGGAAGAAGTAAAAACCATTTCATAAAATAATTACATTTTTTATTTACATCTTTAGTCATAAAAGTTTTTGAGCTTAAATAACTTTCTTACAGAAGAATAATTCCATATTTATCGATAAAGAAAATTCTTTTTACGTCGGAGATGCCGCAGGGCGAGCGAAAAATTGGGCTCCCGGAAGGAAGAAAGATCATACCTCAGCCGATCGATTATTAGCGCTTAATTTAGATTTAAAATTTTATACTCCAGAAGAACACTTTCTTGGTCACAAACAGGCTCCTTACACATTACCCACATTTAATCCAAAAAATTTATCGAATGAGGAGATATGCTCAGGAAGTAATATAACTTCAAGCAGTCAAGAAGTAATTAAAATCATTATTACAGGACAATGTTTAAAGCATAAGTATGATAGTAACAAGTAATTGCTAATTTATACTTTTAGATCATTCTAATGGTTGGCTGTCCTGGTTCTGGAAAATCACACTTTGTAAAATGTCATTTAAACCATTATAGTTATGTTAATAGAGATACTCTTGGAAGCTGGCAAAAATGTATTACTATGATGGAAAAACATATAAATGAACAAAGCAGTGTAGTTATAGATAATACCAATCCGGATTGCGTGTCAAGACAGAGATTCATAGAAGTAGCGAAAAAATATAATGTACCTGTAAGATGTTTTGTTATGTTAACAAATATTGACCACGCAAAACATAACAATAAGGTAAGTCATGGGTAACAATAAACGAATTAGACGCGATTAAAAGAATTTATAAATGAACACTGTACTGAATGCTTTGTTTTAGTTCCGCGAATTAACTGACCCTAATCACGTTAAAGTTAGCGACGTGATTATTAATTCCTATGTGTAAGTAAAAATAAAATTAAAAACGAGTTTATATTACATTTATAATTGGATTATTTTTAGGAAAAATTATCAAGAACCCAGTTTGGAAGAAGGTTTTACAGAAATTGTTCATATAAATTTCGTCCCAAAATTTGAGAAAGAAGAAGATCGTCAATTTTACGAAATGTATCTGCTTGAAGGATAAGTAGAATTTTGAAAAAGCATGGATTCTATTCTATTAATAAATTAAATTATATTTAATGTTTCATCAATAAAAGTATTTGTTTTATGCTAGTAAGCGTATTTAATTGTATTATATAGTGCTGGAGGATCGGGGTTCGATTCCTGTCCGTAGTTGATAGTTTTTTTTCAATCTATTCCCTATTTTGTATTCATTGTTCATCTATTGTAAATAAAAAATCGTAAATAAAATTTCTTAATAAAAAAATTTATTTTTTACGCTTTCTTATGCTAGTATATATTTATTATAAAATAATAAGAATATTATGCAAGAAAAACCATTTTCTATAGCAATATTATTTACTACAGGAAATACAAAACCTATCACTCGTGTAAGTATAAATTATTAAATTAAACATCATATAAGAATGTTGCCTATAATTGCAACTTTGCTGTACAGCTATAAATGTTCTAGAATTAATTACAGAAACTTGGAAATTTATTAATTTTTTACTGCCAAATTGATTTATTAAGATGTTAAATTCTTATCGTTTAAAACGAAAAATTTTACCGCCTGCAATCAGCGCCATCTATGATTTGGGCTCAAAAATCAGAAAAGTAGTAGGAATATAGAATAGGCAAGGAGGTCGTCTAAGAGTTGGTCACGTGGTAGACAAAGACAGAGTGGGGATAGAAAAGGATAGAATGGCTCCGGCAGGGAAAAATTATTAATTACTCTCTTTCCGTAAACAATTTGTGAACTTTTATAATTTCATTGAAAAGCTGGAACTTCAAGCTACATTCTTATATAATATTCGTAAAGAATTTAACTCTAAATTGTTAGTTATTAATTTTTGTTTTATGGCGTCTATGATTTCGTAACGACGACCATCACGATCTTCCGTGAAAATATTTAATACTCAACGAAACTAGAAGCAAAATGTGATCAAAAGTTATATGAGAAGATTCGCAAGGACATTGTCTTTCTAATGAGTGCATAAAGTTTCATAAATTAATTGCGTAAAGGATAGTAATTAATGAAGAAGCAATGGCGTCTTCGATAATCTTCGACAACAATTCAAACACTGCGCCAAACAATTATTAATAATTAATTAATTGGGAACAAATTTCTATCGAAAAATATATTGGAAAGTTCTTAAAGGATCTGCCTTTACGATGCAATTATAAAAGTTCATAAATTAATCACAGATATTGAGTAATTAGTGAATTTTCCGCTGCCGATTTGATTTATTAAAATATATGCGGAGCACATAACCAGAGTTAGTAAACTGACATCAGAGCCACCTATGTTCTCGTTGCGGAACTCGAGCTTCGAATCTGAAATCATAGATGGCTCTGATGTCAGTTTACTAACTCTGGTTATATGCCCCGAATATATTTTAATAAATCAAATCAGCAGTGGAAAATTCACTAATTACTCAATATCTGTGATTAATTTATGAACTTTTATAATTGCATCGTAAAGGCAGATCCTTTAAGAACTTTCCAATATATTTTTCGATAGAAATTTATTCCCAATTAATTAATTATTAATAATTATTTGGCGCAGTGTTTGAATTGTTGTCGAAGATTATCGAAGACGCCATTGCATCTTCATTAATTACTATCCTTTACGCAATTAATTTATGAAACTTTATGCACTCATTAGAAAGACAATGTCCTTGCGAATCTTCTCATATAACTTTTGATCACATTTTGCTTCTAGTTTCGTTGAGTATTAAATATTTTCACGGAAGATCGTGATGGTCGTCGTTACGAAATCATAGACGCCATAAAACAAAAATTAATAACTAACAATTTAGAGTTAAATTCTTTACGAATATTATATAAGAATGTAGCTTGAAGTTCCAGCTTTTCAATGAAATTATAAAAGTTCACAAATTGTTTACGGAAAGAGAGTAATTAATAATTTTTCCCTGCCGGAGCCATTCTATCCTTTTCTATCCCCACTCTGTCTTTGTCTACCACGTGACCAACTCTTAGACGACCTCCTTGCCTATTCTATATTCCTACTACTTTTCTGATTTTTGAGCCCAAATCATAGATGGCGCTGATTGCAGGCGGTAAAATTTTTCGTTTTAAACGATAAGAATTTAACATCTTAATAAATCAATTTGGCAGTAAAAAATTAATAAATTTCCAAGTTTCTGTAATTAATTCTAGAACATTTATAGCTGTACAGCAAAGTTGCAATTATAGGCAACATTCTTATACGATGTTTAATTTAATAATTTATACTTACACGAGTGATAGATAGGTTTTGTATTTCCTGTATCTCTTTTCATGTTATATTCACCGAAGTGCAAATTCATACTAAAAATGATGTTGTAGACAGTAATTTTTCGTTACATTAATCTTATTAAATTTAATAAACGACGAGAGCCGAATGTATTCAGAGAAGGTATTCATAAAACAATAAATTAATTAATATAATGTTATTAATGTTTTTTATATATTATTTTTATGGTATTTTATTTAAATTTTGAATTCTGCATGGGATTACCGCCATGAGACGTCGTGTAACCAATGTTCTTAACCTATTTCATATCTCAAACACATAACCTCTTTAAAATGCGTGTATGGGATTTGTTAAAATGTGCAACTTCTAAACATCCAGTGATAAAAGTAATTATGAATAATACAAAATGTCACGATTGATTGTAAAAAATTTACCAAAAAATGTAAGTAATTACATAATGATGATAGTAAAACAAAGTGAAGTGTGTTAATGTGTGATGAAAATTTATAGATTACAGATACAAAATTAAAGGAACTTTTCAGTCAAAAGGGCTTAATAACTGATGTGCAGTTAAAATATACAAAGGATGGAAAATTCAGGCGATTCGCTTTTATTGGGTTTAAGACAGAAGAACAAGCTGTAGCTGCCAAAGAATATTTTGATAAAACATGTATTGATACTTGCAGAATATCCATTGAGCAATGTGCAAGTCTAGGTATGGGAAATATAGAATATGTTGTGAATGCTTATTGATAGTGGAAACTTATGTTTAAAGTGCTATTGCGTTGAGTTTTATAGGGGATTCTTCTAAACCCAGGTCATGGAGTAAATATGCACAGGATAGTTCGGAACGTGTGATCAATAATACAGATCCCAATGACAGAACACAAAATATAAACTTAAATAAAACAGCAACAAAGGATAAGAATGAAGCAAACAAAAAAAGCAAAAAGAAAGAAGATTTAAAATATGAAGTTAAAGAAGCATTGGAGAAGGTATAATTATAGCTTATTTTGCTGTACTGTCATAATTTTTAAACCTGGTTTACATGTTGATTTATATTTAGCATAAAGATGATCCCTTATTTATGGAATTTCTTGAAAGTCATAAAACTGACAAGGCTATATGGAATAATGATACATTAACATCTGAACAAGCTACAGAATTTAATAATGAGATTGGCAATGATGAAACTAGTGATGGGGATAGTAATGAAGAGGAAAAAGAGGAAAAAAATGAAGAGAAAAAGGAGAAGCCAAAAATTGCAGATAAAGTTATATCTGACTTAGAGGTAATTTAAAACTTGGACAATTTTTCTCATTTGTAAGTGACTTTTGTACATATTAATGTTTGCTCTCTTTGAAAACAGTATATGGAAACTTTGAAGAAAAAAGAAAAGAATACAGAGGAAAAAGTTTCAGATAGTAAGAGTAAATTTAAACACGGGTCTACAAAATTTTTTACTGTCAAAGTTAGAGGTTTGGCATATAATCACAAGAAAAAGGATATCAAACAATTTTTTCGTCCGTTGAAACCAAAATCTATACGAGTACCACCAAAAATTAAGGGTATAGCATATGTTGGTTTTAAAACTGAACAACATTTAAGGAAAGCTTTGTTGAAAAACAAAAGTTTTTTAGGTAATAACAGTATAATCTGCTTTTATCAAGAGAATATTCATTGACTATCATTTTTATTGTTATTTGTATTTGTTGGTTCTTTCTAGATGGTAAACAAATATTTGTAATGAAATATGAAGTGAAAGAACAAAAATCCGATGAAGAACAAAATGAGAATGAATTTAATGTTAGGTGGAAAAAGCAAGCAGAGGCATTAAAAAATGAAGAAAGTATAGCAGAGTCTGGAAGGATGTTTATTCGAAATTTATCGTATACAGTAACCGAAGATGATGTTCGAAAATTATTTGAAAAATATGGTAGGTACTTTTTTTTGTGTAAACCGCCGTTTATAGTATTAACGATTTAAATTTTAATTTAGGATAAATTGAATTAAATCTTTGTTTAGGTCCTTTAACTGAAGTTAACTTACCCATCGATCGAGTAACTAGAAAACCGAAAGGATTTGGTACAATAACATTTTTAATGACCGAGCATGCGGTAAAGGCATATAGTGAATTAGACGGTTCGATTTTAGATGGAAGAATGTTACATATTCTTCCAGCTAAAGTAGAACTTGATCCTATGGAAAAAATTGACGAAAGTAAGAATAAGTCGTATATTATTCTTCTGCATACAGTTCTCCAATAAGTGTAACGCGTATAACTTTTACATTACAGATAGTTTGACGTACAAGCAAAAAAAAGAATTAAAGGCTAAGAAATCTGCGGGGTCGTCACACAATTGGAATACTCTTTTCCTTGGGCAAAATGCAGTAGCAGATGCTATAGCTAGTACTTATAATACAACTAAAGAAAAAGTGTTTGAAGATGGATCAAAGGGTTTAAGTGCGGCGGTTAAATTAGCATTGGGAGAAACACAATTAGTTCAAGATACCAGGAACTTCTTGGAAGAAAACGGAGTTTGTTTGGATGCATTCAATCAAGTAAATATTAACTAAACGACAATAAAAAAAAATGGTAATTTGGTTATGTTTGAATATGTTTATAATAATTTAAATACGTTTTTTCAGCTACCCAACAAACGATCAAAAACAGTAATACTCGTAAAAAATTTACCTGCCGCAACATCAGAACAAGACATTCGACAACTATTTGCACAACATGGCGAATTGGGAAGAGTAATAATGCCACCTTCAGGAATTACCGGTATGACTTTTACCGTCACCCGTCACTCGTATATAATTATTAATACGTTTTTAATCTATTACGATTAATCTGTTATCGACATTTAGCTTTGGTGGAATTTTTGGAGCCTTCTGAAGCACGCTTAGCATTCATGAAATTAGCATATACTAAATATAAACATTTACCACTTTATCTGGAATGGGCCCCTGACAATAGTTTTACTACCCCTCCTGCGCGGAAAAACAAAACTGTGAAAAATGACACTGAGCCAAGTAAGCAAAAAGATAATAAAGAAGTTGACCAGCAGAGTCAAGAATTTTCAGAAAATATAAATGATACAAATAAGGCTAGTAAAGAGGAAAGTGAAGACGAGGATGAACCTGAACAAGATACGACTCTTTTTGTAAAGAATCTTAATTTCGTAACTACGGAAGAACAACTGAAAACGGTGAATAATTTGACAAACTTTACATTTTTTTTTTTAATTATTTAATGCGTAAAGTTTTGTTTTACAGTACTTTGGCAAATGTGGTCCTATTCATTATGCCTCGATAGCAACAAAAAAAGATGTAAAAAATCCTGGTGCCAAATTGTCTATGGGATATGGATTTGTAAGATATAAAAGAAAAGCAGACGCAGATCGTGCATTAAAAGTTTTACAAATGTCAGTATTGGACGGAAAGACATTAGAACTTAAACGTTCTGAAAGAACATTAACGTACGTTCATAATTTTGCCTCATATTTTAGTATGTTAACGTTTGCAACGTTATTAATAAATGTTTTCGTATATTTAAATTTACAGAACTGACTTAAATAGTACGAAGAAGACATCTACAATAACGGCACAAACGGGTACAAAAATTCTGATAAGGAATGTGCCATTCCAAGCGACAGTTGAAGAAATAACCGAACTGTTCAAGTATGCATTTTATGTATTTTAAATCGAGAGTATATCTTTTATTAAGACTTTTTATATTCTTTATTAAAATATTAGGGCGTTCGGTGAATTGAAAGCAGTGCGATTACCAAAAAAATTAGTCGGCGTTGAAAAGCACAGAGGATTCGCGTTTGTAGAATATTATACAAAAAGCGAAGCCAAGGTAATTAAAAAAAAAAAAATCAACATAATTTTTTCAGCTCCTTATTGTTGATTTTTCTTCTAATATTCAATTATCTCTATTTCGTTAATAGAAAGCATTTAAAGCTTTATGTCAGAGTACTCACTTGTACGGTCGAAGATTGGTTTTGGAATGGGCTCAAACTGAAGAGGATGTGGAAGATGTTAGAAAACGAACAGCCAAACACTTTTATCAAGGTATATACTTATTAATGCGCAAACTTTGAATTCAATTTCGAATGATTCATTTCCTCGCACAACCATCAATTACTACTATTCATTTACAGATCAATCAGTTAAGAAGACCAAAAAGGCCACATTAAGCGGAGAGGATATCGGTTTGGAGGATGTATAATTTGTTATAAACTGATGTGTTCATAAGATTAAGAAAAAAGACAAATAAATTTATGGAACAGACAAGACTTGTAAAATGTATTTTCTATCAATAGTTGGCAACGAATCAAATCGATCGAAAGTTAAAAGACTTTTTTGAGTCGCAAAACGTGCACAATATTGACCTTCACGTCACGTAGAAACTTTTTCTCGTCTTACTTTTCTCGAAAATACTTCGGATTTCTAGCAGTAGTGTCACTGGTGACATATCGTACTACGCGTACTAATTTCATGTATTTGGGTTTTGATACTAGCGAATTTGTTTCACGTGCCAATGAATATCATCTAGTTAACATTATTCTTCGACCCACGTTCCAAGCCGATTTAATTGCAACCTCGAAGACGTTCGTTACACCGAGTTTCGATGCAAGAATGCAGTTCGACGCTATACAATCTTGCTTTAAAACATCAGACCAATTTCAACTCTGGAAGTACCGAATCCAACCTGTTTTTCTACTTTTTAATTCTCTTTTGATACGCACTTTTGGATAAGAATTTGACGTCTGAACGAAACCTTTTTCGTATTTAAATTTATGTTTACTGTTTCAGTAGATTAAGAACATCTGTAGCGGAAAGAAAAAGTGGCACGGATTTATAACCTGGTGTGACCAAATTTAAAAAGAAGTAAGGCGTGTCAAAAAATTTACATAAATTCCTAAGCGTTTGCGCGAAAAACAAATTAGGTAAAAAACAGGCAAAGATACGGGTGCGCTTTTAATATATCAGTATTAAAAGAAGCAAACTCGTAGAGGATTCGAAGTAGGGTGGAAGGGAAGAAATGTTTTCCTTTCACCTCTGCCGAGAGGAGTGACAGGAATGGTTCGAGAGGTTCGGGGAGACCCATGGTGGAGGTGGAGACGACCCATGAAAGTAACAGTGCCTTCTCCACCTTCTGTTCAACACTCGCATTCAGTCTTCGTCTCTTTGCTCTGGAGAACGGTGCTCGCGACTCTTTCAGTGTCCTTCGGTGTCGTCTAGATACAAGGTCGTGAGTGCACCGGAAACGTGCACGGTGAATCGAGAAGTCGTGTCTATGCAAGCATAGTGCGCGATGTGCTCGACCTGACGAGCTTCCAGCGAAAACAATCAACAACGGTGTTGGATTGTGAAACAACGAAAATGGATTGGGTAAGATGATTGTTCATACTGTTCTCTTTTTTGTCAAGAATATAACTCACGTTCGATGAAATATAGTACTCTTTGGTGCATTTAAGATTCTTCGACTCTATATACTTCTTTTAGCTGTTAGATTTGTATGTTTTACGTATACATTCGCGTATTTCTTAACGTTCGATAAAAATACCAAGTAGAAACATCGACATCCTTTTTCGGAAAATATTGCAAAAACTTTGACGAAACGAATAACGAAGGTACCATAGTACCAAGACGCTTTCTCGTCTGGAGATTGACAAAAATAAGGTGAGAAGCACCTGTACAATTTGATCTTGGCTTCCCGATGGCTTCTCCACTCGGATTGTTCCGATTCTTCGCCATATTTCGATGCTGCCCTATTACAAAGCGATAAGCACAGGAGTGTTGGCTCGAACGTGTCGAATGACACTCTTACGAAGAGATGAATCGGTAACCGAGAAGCACGACTGTATCAAAGGTGAACTTGAGTTTCGCAAAGATCTATCGACTGTTTAATCGACGCCGCTACTTTCTCCGTGTTTTACTCGCTAAATCGCGAGGTTTGCCGGACATTCGTTCCTCCGAATAAGGGAAAAAAGGCGAAGTAAGGAAAGAAGGAGAGTGAAACGGTGGAATTCCTAAGGAATTGCACGATCGCTAGATGAAATTCTCGTTAGATTGGCGCCGTTACGCTGGGGCTGGGTTGATCGAGATCTACATGCATATCGAATACCTGGGAACGATCGTCGGCTTCCTGCCGGTGGAGGAGGGAGAGGAAATCTACCGGTTATTCGAGCCACACTACTGCCTTCAACTGCACACTTCGCTTTAAGCCGCTGCGACAAGCAAAGAAGGAGCGAACGCATGTAGCAATTCGATATTGCAAAACTCTCGAGGCCGCAACAGTTCTCTTTACCCACTTCCCAGAGCAACCTCCTACTATCCTATTTTGCTCTT